CCCCAAACATGGTGGAGAGAAAGATGTTTGGGATATTCCCCTCCTACATTTTTGCCTTGAATTAGCCAGAGTTTCTTTGGAGATTTTTTAAGTTGTGAGCAGATGACCATAGGATGGGAATATGCTTGCTATGTTATCCAGAAACAAGACCAGACAGAGAAAGAGTTTACATGAACAAAGCTTAGTTTATGATTTAGAGTTGAGTTTTGCTGAATGCCTATCTAATCTAGTTGGTTCCCTCCCTACCCCAAATCCACAGTTGGGAGGGGCTTACTCAGAATGAGAGAAAAGTGGAAGAAAGATAAAAGTTGATTTTCCTATAACTAGGCCTTTCACCTTTGGACAAAAGTGGAATTTCAGGGCTCAAGCAGTCAATCATTGACAAGAACCAAAGAGGCAAATAGACTGCCCCTGACTCAGCTCAAGGGTGGCAGGTGGGAAGAGTGAGGAACAGTCCAGACACAGGAGACCGCCAATGAAGTCAGGCATGTGAGGGCACTGCACATTAGCGTACATGTGATGACCTATGACTGACGAGGCGCTGCATGAGTCCCGCCAGTGTCTGCAGGCTAATCAGACTCAGGAACATTGGTCTGTGCTTCATGGACCCATTACAAATGACAGGGACAATGCCACAGTGGGACTTACACTTTGCCACTTATGGGCTTTGAGATTAAACTGTTCCTTGCACTGAGTAAGCCTCCTTTCCCTCTTCTGTAAACTGGGCCTAGTGCTCCACTGGAGTTGTAGTGAAGACTTAACAAGATGCCATGTCTCTTACACAGGAAGGACTCAACAAACAGAAACATAATGATAGTGATGATAATGATGACAAGGACAGCTGGGATTAGAGCAGCCATTTGCCAATTTGCTGCTGTAAATATTACTGTTAGTTTTATAGGACAGACTCATCAGCCTGAATGGAAAGTTTTCTCCATTGCAGTCAAACTGCAAAAAGTTATGTAGAGAACCTCAAGTCAAAACCAGAAGAGTTAGTGTAATGGTTTACAGCCCTGATACCCTGATGCAGACACCTGGCCACAGGGTACCTTCTGTTTCCCAGATCCTCCTATCAGTCTACCAGGACATCCTCTGCCCTGGACATTTTGGGATGACACTGCCATTCTCTACCTCTTTGGATCTTCCCTTTCAATTTTTCTTTAAATTGTTACAAATGTTCTTTTTATTGGCCTCTCAGTTCTCTAATGGTCATCTTGAAAAACCAGTCTTGAAAACACCCATTCTACAACCTTATAACTTCCTTTCCTTTCTTCTTGCTTACAACCTAAAGCCCCCCTGCCTCCTCATACACAAAAATTTCTTCAAACCACATCATAATTTCCAAAGTCTGGATCCCACCAGAATCTATCCATTGTTGGTTGGTCTTGGACTCCATGGTCCAAATCATTATCATCATTCCTTTACTGGTTCTCAATTCCCTTGCTCTCCTCTCCTTCCATCACAAGCATTTTGCAAACTTTCTAGGATGAAGTCAGTTTCATAAATAAAACTAGAGGCATTCGCACAACTCAACATATAGATTTCATTTTAAATCAATAATCTCAAAATTTCCAACAATGCTTCAAAACCGGCAGAGTAATGCTACATTTCTATAGTGTTTATGCGTCCACTCTCTGAGCTGACTCTTACATTCTTTCCTATTCAAACCTCCTGCCTTTTACCTATCTAATCCCAGCTACTAAACTTGGCCCCATGCTACACTTGAAAAATGGAACATTCTTTCAACACCCTCAAGACCTGCCTTTTCTCACATCCATACCCAATCTTGCTGCTCTTTTAAACTAGAAAGGTCTCTTCTATCAAAGTCCAGTCACTGACACATTCCCTTGATCTCATCCCACCTTGCTTCCCCAAGAATTCTGGTTCCTCTATGTCTTCAGTATCTCTCTACTAGACCATTTTACCAGCCTGTGAACACAACAGCTTCTGACTTTGCGCAGGTATCTTGACCTCCCACCCACTCATCTACGGAAGGACTCGGAGCTCTGGTTCCCTTTCACAACCAAACGTCTCAAAACAGTTGTCCATACAAACAACTGTTATTTGCCTATTGTTACTACCTCTCTGTTTTCTACCTCCACATTCCACCATAACTGCTCTTGTTTGTGTTACCCACAACTGCCAACATTTATTTTTTCCCTTTTTGGACCCTCCATTTTCTATCTTCACTCTCTCTATCTTTTGACCACTTCTCTCTCTTTCTCTTCTCCTGGCTTCTCCTCCTTTACCAAATGCATAAGTGTTGGGGTTTGTGGCACAATCCCCAGTTCAGTTCTCACATTTCTCAAGAACTCTCACCCAAGGTGATTCATCTTTTCCCATGTAATTAATTACTACCAACATGCTTGTAACTCCAGCCTCATATTTCTTCTAAGAAGAAAATAAATGCAGGCATCCACTACCTCCTTGAAATCAGAGAGACATCTCAAGAGTAACATGATCACTTATAACAGTCTGCCCACCCTAAGCCAAAGCCAGTTCTTACCCAATCATCTCTCCCTCTGTGCATGCCATCAACTACCTAGGTGCTAAACTAAACTCCGCCTACTTTTCTCCACTCTGCCAATACCTTAATGTAAGTCACTATTAGTTCTTACCTGGACTATTGCTATGGTTTCCTTTTGGTTTTCCAGTTTCTAATCTTTCAAATCTATAGTATTCTTCCACCTGACAGCCTTTGTCTTCTCATTGAATTTCTAATAAAAATACAACGTGGTTATCACCACCTCCAAAGCCTTTGTAGACTTGACCATACCCTGCCTCCTACACCCCACTTTGAGCGGCTCCCCCCCTTGCCCACTCCCCTGCTATACTCATCTCCTCTCAGTTCCCTGACACACACAGTTCCTTAGTGACTGGGTGCCCAAGGGTCTGCATACACACGCATGTGTGTACACGCATGTGTGTGCACGCACACGTATTTTTCAAAAATGTTTATTCCTCAGAGAAGGTTTTTCATCACCAACTTACAAGAGAGGTCTCCTCACCTGCGTTTCTATTACTATGTTAAGTTTTATCCTGCATGACATTTATTAAAATTTGCAGTTATGTTTTTTATCTATTGATTTGTAAGTCTTCTTAGCTTCCTTCCTCCATAGTCTGTGAACTCAAGAGGGAGAGCCGGGCGTGGTAACCACTCTGGGCAAATAGCTCATGAGACCCTATCTCGAAAAACCCTTCACAAAAATAGGGCTGGTGCAGTGGCTCAAGGTGAAGGCCCTGAGTTCAAGCCCCAGTACTGCAAAAAAAAAAAAAGAAAAAAAAGAGGGCAGAGCCCAGCCCTATCATTTACATCTGGTGCAACAAGAAATGCCAGGGTTTTGCCATCTTTTACCTTACTGTGGTCTCCTCTGCCCATGGCTTTGAATGACACCCACAGCCTCTGCTGATGTTTCCTCTGCTCCTAACAATATTCATTGAATGAGTGAACGAGGAAATGAATACTGGTATCCCACACAATTTCAAAACTTCTATTCCGGTATTTTCTTTAAAGTTTACTTCATTTGTGTCCTTGGGGGTAGACTAAAAGAGATGTGTGAATTCTAGCAAGCTTGACTTTACCAAGCACTCCTTCCCTTTTAACTGCCATGTTCCTGTCTGGCAGGGAGTTGGTTTCCTAAACTTTCACTTCCACCCCAAGACGAATTTGTTTTGTCTTTACCTCCAGTTCTTCCATGTTGTTTTACCATTCACCTATGCTCTATCCACATTGTACTTCTCTTCATTTTCCAGAAACCAGGGGGCCCTTTCCTAGCCTGTACCTGCCTCTATCCAAAGCTGTGACACCCACAGCCCCTGCAGAGGCTTCTCTGCTTCTGAGGAGGTGCTGGGAGCAGTAGCATTTTGTCACTGGAGACACAAGTGCTAGGTACATTTGGAGGATCCATGGGCACAACTGATATCACCCATGGGGGACAAGGCTCAACTGGCTCTTCTGAATTCCTCAGCAGCCACATGGAGTGGGGAAAATATTCCTCTCTCCCCTGTGTTACCTGCTGTCAGCTAGGTGTCAAAGCACCATGTCTTCCTCTCTCCCCACCTCGAATGCCTTAGAAGTTTTCAAATTTAGTCACGGCTTAGGGAAATGGATAGCAGAGTCCAAGATAGTCACACAATAATTTCATTGATTTTTGTTTTCAGTTTTGTTGAGGATGAAAAAAATGACAACGTGAGCATAATCTGTGTCTTCTGTACAGGTGTCTCGTGATCCAGTACTGTTGTATTATTTACATGAATTAAAAGAATAATTGCATTATGAAGTACTGCTCCAGGTTTTCAGAAATTGTTAGCAAAGAAAAAAAATGAAAATATTAGGTCTTTGTGTGTGATCAACTGATGCTTTGGGCTGATCCCATCTTTGAATATATCAAACAACAACCACTGGCTCAGTCTGTACATTTTTAACTAGAATTGCAATAAAAATAATTTGTTAGTACTAGGTTTGCAAAAGAGTCTTTTAACCTTTAAAAATAGTCAAAAAATTCCTTACACTAAGGAAAACATTATCCAGAAAACTCTCTGTTTGCATGTTTTATTTTATCTTTTGTTTTATTTTTTAATGATCCACCCCAATATAAGGGTCAGATAGGTGCTCAAAGATCAGCCCAAATTCCTGATACCATCATCCTTGTGTTCAGCGTCATCATCCTGCCCTACTTCAAAACACTGGAAGTGGTTTATCAAGCCACACTTGACCCTCCTTCGGGATGAATTCTCTCCCAGAAGGCTCTTCTATAAACAACTTCCTTGGTAGTCACTGCTCCACTCTTCATGCACAGATGTGCCTTACCACAGGCTTAGATTCAAACTGGAACCTCCACTATCCTGTCTTGAAGAATGAGTAAGTGAAAAAATAAAGATGAGTAAAAAAAGCAATGAATGAAGTAAAGATAATTCTTTACTTCACCTGGCATGACAAAAGCCATTGCTTGTTCACTACATGATTTGGAGGGGAAAATAAAAGTATTCTCTCTTTCCAGGTGGTAGATGACAAGTTGAAGGTAGAAAAGGAAAAAGGCAAAGCAAAGTCTCCAAAGGAGAAGAAGGCCCCAAATGCTAAAACTGGTAAAGGAAAGGGAAAAGATCAGCCTGAGCCTAACCCAACAGTGAAAAAGGCCACTCAATTGAAACGGAGGGGAGAAGAAGACGAAACCAGAAGTTACATTGGTCAGTAGGATGCCGCTTCTGCTGGGGTGCCTTTCTTACTTTACAACCTGTCACAGGGTTTGAGAAGGCATTCTAATAACTGTGCTTAATCTCCCCCAGTCTTTTCATTCTTCATAAAACCACAAGTCACTCACTCTCCATGACACTCTAATAGACAAATATTTCTATTTGCAGCTCATTGCTGTTTTTGGAAAATGTTTAGCTATTTAGTAATTCATTACTGCCTTCCCTTGAACCTACTAGGGGCTGCCTATTATTATCTGCATTAGATTTATTTATTTATTCTTTTTAATTAATAGATTTCCGTTTTTAGGTTGCAGTTTTAGGTCTGCATTGTGCTTAAATGAGATAGTGGTAGTCCTTCACATCCTTTATCATTTGATAAAGCTTTGCTCTAAGTACACTAGACTTGGAAACAATGATATTATGGATTCCGTGGACAATATCAACACTGATATTTTCAGTAATAGAAGAAAAATCATTACTTAAAAATTAAAAAGCTGAGCATCTGTTGTACTATTGGTAAATTGACCCTAATGGCTATTGTAAAATGTAACATTTTCAGGTTCCACATAGTAGCAATACTAAAGTGTAACAATGATTCCTATCCCCCAGAACACTACATTCTAAAATAATCTCATGTCTTAATGTTAGTAAAAATAGTTCAACCAGGATAAAATCAAGGAGAGAAATTTTAGGAAAATGCACAATATGTACTTCAAATTTTTAATGTGATGAACACATAATGACTACATAAGCGATGCCCTGGGCTCATGCTCACTGACTTAAGTACACTCAGCACTTTAGTAGAGAGCTTGTCCATATTCAATATTTCCCTCTCCTGTAAACACCTCTACTTATAAAATACCACAAAGCTGCAGCTACTTGTAATTCAGGAGTAAAGCCAGATGTTGCTCAAAAGAGATTAGAACACACAAAAAAGTTATAGGCTAAATTCTAACAAAAAGCCAAGCACGCATTTTCCATGACCACACACCCCATGTATGCTTGTCCTCTTATTACGCCTATGTCTCATTTGCAAAAGTGATTTAATATTTTGTAAAATGGCCGCAACCTTCTTACTGGAAGAGCAATAATGAAAAACAGTCAACAGGACTGCATTCCAGCCAACTGGACCATTTTCTGCAAGCCAGAGGGATTATAAATGCATGAATGATGTATATAGCCATTGAACTGGCTGAGCACAACCTGTGCTAGTTTCCACTGACGGCTGCTCTTCTTTATGGTGTTTTGAACAGACGATGAACCAGATGACGGTGCCCAATATTACATTATTGTCGTGGGCTTCAACAATCCTCAGCTCTTAGCCATTGTCACTGAGCTTGGCATTCCCATAACCAGCGTGATTAAAATATCTTCAGAGAACTATGACCCTCTGAAGACACACCTGGCAGCAGTGAGCCAGCAGCAGGAAGCTTTTCTTCAGCCAGAAGGTATGCAGTCTGCTATACAACTTATTGAGTCTGTCAAAATTACCTGCTGTCCTTAAAGCACAAATAAGATTTGCTATTCAAAACATAATTATATAATACGTACATTATTGAATTCTTTCAAGACTTTGATTTGCTATTTATTCTACTTGTATCAGCCAGCAGTCATAAATTTTACAAATTAAAATCATACCGTGTTTATATCCCTGTGTCACCACAGAAAACAGACTGAAGGTCAGAAGAAATGGTTATCCAACTACATTTCTCAGGAACTTTTGATCTGTAACTCTTACCCAAACCACAGTCACCACACAGCCCAAGCAAGATCACAACCTTGTATTCTTGCCCCCCTGTGCTGCTGTTTTTGTGAAAAGTGGCAGGGTGGGGTGGTAGCATTCTGTCTGAGATGAAGCCCCCACTACACTACTGTTCAATCATTTTGACCCTTGCAGTCTTCATGTCAGGGAATTATGCTGGAGGAAAGAACAAAAAGCTACTGTGCACTCTAGATTAAACAGCCCTGGGATTCAGCATAAGACTGTGCTTCCAGAAGCCCTCATCCTTTCTGCCATAGTGCTGCTTTTATTGTTATTTATTAATAATATTTACATAGCACTCTGTAACTTACACAGCCACATCCAAATTCCTGTAATGCTGCATTTTTTCATTTACTTTTGTAAGTTAGAGAGCACTACCCCAATAATAGCTATAGCTACCATTTATCAGACATTTAACCTTAGACTAGGCCCAATGCTAAGGGTTCCAAGTGTGTTGATTCATTTAGCTTCACACAATCGTAGGAAGTATGCTTTATTTTTTTTACACTTCACCAAAAAGGACTCTTGGACTATAAGCAGCTATTAAGTAAAAGAGTTTAGAGTCAAATTCAGGTACTTCCGACTGCCTCAAAGGACAGTTAAATGTCCTTTGAGAAAATGCTGCATACATACCAAACCTATAATCTCTTCATGTAAATATCCAATGTGCAGAATAAATGAACATAAAATAGTCTTTAAAATAGACTAATGATATCTTAGTAGCACAACCTTCAATTTTGTTATAGATGTAATAAACATATTTCAAGCAAATTTTCGAGTATAACTTTATAGAAATCTGTCACTATTTTATAGTAAGAGCACAAATTTCCAGGGAAGACTGTTGCTATTTTAATTTGACCAAAAGATAACAGAAGCATAAATCACTGATCCAGTCTGGTTTTAGCCATGTGAGAAGAAACAAATCAACTGCATTTTAGCTAGTTATGCAGCTGACACAAATATGGTCAAAAAGTCATTTGGCAGAGAAATTGGTCCTATACAGAAGGAATCTAAGAGTGATGGAAATCCTGAGCACCTTTAGCCTTCAAATCTGTGAGCTTATCATAATATTTCTGAGCCTCAACTATGAAGTGAAGAGATGAGATAAGATCATATTTAATATAGGTCTCTTACGATTTTGTAATTGTGTTGTCCAGTTTCAAAAGGTTCTCAAAGTTACATTTCTTTACTTGCATCTTTCTGATACTCACCAGACATCTTGCAATGACTATAACCCACTACATCTAGATAAAGTGGGAAGAAATTCAGTATTCTCATCTTATGATAAAACATGTTTCTATTATTAGATATAGAAGCTGAAAACTTGAAAAGAGAGGATGCCATAAAAGAACTTGAAATTTTCTGGAAGTACTTGGAGCCAATCCTGAATAATGAGAAACCTGAAACCAATCTCTTTGATGTGGCTCGACTTGAACACATGGTCAAAGAAGCAGATTTTCCTTCTGACTGGTCAGACAGTGAGATGATGGTTAGTGCACACATCAGTGAGAGTGTGTAGATTTAATGGGGCTGGTGGTCCATTTGCTATAGTCATTCATTCCACATATATTTATTAACTCCTAGGTTTTGTGCTGGGCTGTTTGGTCTTCTAGTAAATGAGTACATTGGATGGCCAGGATGATCTAACATGATTCTGTAGCTTTTAGTATATAAATTGATGATAAAGAATAAGATGGAGTGGATGTAATGGTGATTATTTCTATTTCTATTAGTGACACTATGTTCCAGACATTAATTAGAATCTTTATATATACTAACTGTGAAAATAGTAAATTTTATAGCTTATTGCATTGTGTGTCTCTCTTTTTTGTCAATTCAAACATTGTTTTATTTAGCCCTAGCTTTTATTGCCAAAATTTTATTTTTAATATATTTGGCCCATAAGCTCTGTCCCAATGGAATGAGTTGACCCCAGCCTAACCCAAGCAGGCATTCCCTGAGAGCTGTCACTGCCCCCCTACTGTTGAGGAGCTTGCAGAGAGGCAAGACCAAAACCATGGAACAGAGAAGCCCTGATCAAGCGTCATCTGTCCAGATTCTAAATTACGTGAAACACACTCTGAGTTTCCTATTAACTCAGAAAAGGGAAAAATGAGTTCTTGAAAATCTAATGAATGCCAGACACATAAGAGGTTTCATTTGGTTGGCTGGTTGGTTGGTTGGTTGTTCTTCTCCCCATCAACTTAAAAAGAAGGTCAAGTGGCTACTTACCAGGGATATTATGGAAGGTATTTAGACTCACTCTGTTATAGAAAACCTCAGGTCTCTTTCTGGTTGACCCGCCTGAGCCCCCAGAATAGGGGTTTGGAAGTGTTCAATGCACTGCAAGCTTTATATTTCAGCATCAACGGAGACAAACTGAAAGCAGGGCCCTAGGGAAGGACCATATGACATGAGTACTCTGAAAGGAACCCAGAAAAGCAGGGTAGGGAGGACAGAGAGTTATCTATATTTACGGACTATAGATGACTGACAAAGAAAAAAAGAAAAAACACAGACTAACTGAAGAGTGAGATCAAATAAGCCAGCCACAGTCATGGGCTATGAACACTTCTGACGCTGAGTCCCTAACCCTATTACTTTGAGATGGATGAGCACTTAGTGAAAACACTGTGAAACAGTTTAAGTAAAAACACTGATAAAAGAGACCAGAGTTGAATCCTGAAGGACAGATAGGGCTTGAATAAGTTCTATTGCAAAGACTCAATATAAGGCATGATGCAACTATATAGAAACAGAACACTTGAGTCACTTGCCAGTAACAAGAGTAAATGTTAGTCTTGTGCTGTACTTGGAATTGAAGCTGGACGCAGAAAAGCTGTAACCAGGCACAACGGGTTCAGCAAACATGGTTACTGCAAACTTTGCCTTTGTCTTTGCCTCTTTGATCCCTTCATCTAGATATGGTTGGCCGTGCTACAGTGCCTTTCACTGTCCTGCTTCCTAAACCTGAGTTCAGAAAAGGACTTGCCGTCATCAGCCCGTTACTGCTTTATGAAAATCCCCTATCCCAGTGATGTAGTAGAATGAATATTCCATCCTATTTTGCTAGAACTCTAGATTACATCCAACAAATGTGAGGCAGAATTTGGGGAAGGGGTTTTTTCCCCTGGTATCCTGAAATCCCACCTCACACCCAACTTTCTACCCTTCCTCATACATATACTAGGTATGGCTAATAAAACCCATATCCACAAATTTACAACTTAGAGACCCATGCCTCCTCCTGGCAGCACCATGGCTACAATCACAACTTCAGAAGATCTAGCACCATTCCTAGCATCCTACTTCCTTCCCATGATTTTCTGCTTATCAGAAGCTACTGATCATTCCATCTTCAAGAAAGTGATAGTGGCTTTATTTTACATTTTACAAAATACAAAGTAGAAGAGTTTAGGCGGCAATTAAAGTTCAGAGAAACTATTTTATGTTAAAAGACATTATCAGCTTAGCTGAAATATTAGTTATGGTAGAACATTCCTGACTTTAGAACTAGAAGATTAATGTTAGTGTGTCTAGTTGGACCTGAAAACACTCAGCTCTCCAGAGAGTCAGTTAGGACTGTGCTGCACCCCCCAGCGCCACTGATCTCCTGTCAGCAAATCTGCAGTAAGTATTGACCGTCCTCTTCATGCCAGGGCTTTGGTCTGGGTCCAGCTTCTGTATGCCACAGAGGCAAGTCTCTGCAAGTTATGTTCTGCAAGGTGTGTTCATTGAAGGTGTTGGAGCCTAGAAAATGACTCAGTGATAAAGTTGAATTCCGGAAGAAATATCGAAGACGGAAGTTCCTTTTAAACCTAGGATCACTTAATAAGCATAAAGGTGATGAATCTACTTCTAGTAGAAGCAGAGTAGATACACGCTGTTACTCTCTCAATTATTACCTGAGAGTCGATGAGGAATGGCCTCCTATCCAACCTAGGAGCCAGCCACGGCTCCTTCTTCCTCCCTAGATGGAAGAAAGCATTTGCAACCTTTGAAGCAAGCTGTATTTCTGCTGAGCAAGGTAACGAAAGCTTTACATCAAATAAATGCCTATCAAGACGTGCTAACTGCTCACGTAAGACAGCTGCACCGTCTCACATTAAGCCCTGGTTGCTGAAATAATTTGCTAGTCTTTAGCATACATTTGCTGTTGGATGTTTAAAGTGAATTAAGTAGGTTAAGCTGGGGTATCAATGGACAGAATCTTTATTATAGTTCCTAGAAATAAAAACAAAAACATATTTCTATGCCAGAATTTGGGCAAGGAATACCAGGTTGAAGTTGAAGTGAAAACCCCTCAGACTTAGCAAGGGCATGGGAAGCAGGCAGACAGGTGTGCTATGATGGCAGAGCTGTGCAATTCACTGGACCTCAGCCAGACTATGATTCACTGGCCCCACCAGAAGCTATCTCATTCTACCTTACCTCTTCAACACAGACATAGGATGAGGGGCCTATTTAAGCCTTCTTTGCTCCCCAGCAGACAGACACAGCAATCACATTACTTTCCTATCTCTGGAAGTGAAAGCTCAAATAATAAAGGCAACTGATCTATCATTTTCTTGGCAGCTCATAAAACTTGGGGGTATTACAGAAGCAATATTGTGATTTCTTAGTGTTTTTCCCCAAAAGAAGCATAGCACAGGTGAAAGGAAAGAAGAGAAGAAAGGAAGAAGTGTTTATGGTACATGCACTGTAATATATTTGGGTGGGTAACACACAAAGCTGAGCAAGGCTCCTTGCATAGAAATCATCTATTGCTTGACTTAGGCTAACGTATCAAAATCATCTAACATGTTCTAGCAATTGAGATACTAAAAAATATAGGCCATACTGCAGAAACTAATGATTTGGTTGGTTTTCACTTAGTTGAAGCACTAATTAGCTTCTCACAATATTAACAGCCACAGGCCCCTTAAGGTAGTAGTCTGAATTGTGGTGAACAAGAAGGGAAAGAAGTGCTTGGTTACCTAGTGGAGACTCGGTTACCTAGTCCTGGGATTCAGAAATTCGCTTTCCTGTGAAAAGTGAACAGGCTCAGGTGATAGGAACAATACAAATCATGTACCTGCTTTGAACTGTATAAAACTAATAACAAATTGTCATTAATTCAATCACCTGTAGCTGGAATTGGGCACCAATATTTTTGAAAATATTGCCTGTTTGATGTATGACAGCCTGGACTGGAAAAGGCAGCACCAGCACTATTTGGAAAGCATGCAGCTCATTAATGTCCCACAAGTGGTTAATGAGAAAACTGCCTTAGAAGCCATGCAGATTCCTGAGGTAGGCAAGGGTGCAAATGTCTTTAGTAGGCTGAACAATTAACTGAGTGGCTTAATTTTCACATTTATAAAGCATGTGAAGAAAAAACCTACATAAATACTTGTATCTGGGTAATAACTGCCTGTTGTATTGAGGTATGAAGGAGGGAACAAGGATAAGCTCCCTACAAAGCATTAAAGGGCTCCATTGGAAGGTCTATATGAGAACTCAACTATCTGACCCCTCCAAAGAAAAGAATGGGACCACTTGTGGGCACGTGGTGCAATGAATAACGTGAACAAAGAGGGATAGTGGTGAAGTAATCACAGTGTTTATTTAGCACTTACTGTAGCTAGCACTATGCAAGATGCTGGCAATATAATAGCGAAGACATTTCCTATCCTCCTTACTGAGGTTGCCTTGTAAAGAGGAGAGCAATCAAGTCAATAGCAGTTTCAGCACAGCATGACGAATGTGAGGAGAGCAGTCAGCTCAGACTGCAGTAGAAGCAATAAAAAATGGCACCTAGCCTAATTTGGGAAGCAGTGAAGTGGAGAGAGAGGAGTTAGGAAAATATTACTAGGTTGGTGATCTGTTGAAGGCTGAGTATGAATTGCGTAATGGAAAAATGTGATGAGGGAAAGGTACACAATGATATTTTCAAGAAAGGGGCAAAGATAAAGATAACAGAGGTCAATGAAACCAAGTATTATGACACAAGCCACGGCAGTTCAGTGCTCTAGAATGCCTGTGCAAAGTGGATACCAGCAATGTGAACTAAAACTGAAGAGGTGGAGGCACACCAAAATGTCCTCTGAACTAATGAGACAATTCTAATATTAACAGATGATGTTGTGGTGTAAGCAAAATTACCTGATCTCAGAATCCTGCTGGATCTCATCATGCTAGCATTTGATGAAAGCACCTATCAGCAGGCCATCTCAGTTTTTTTCTTGTCAATTGTTCTTATCTTAGGTCCCACAACCTGCTGTTCAAACCCCTGGAAAGAAGAAAGCACAACATGAGGAACCCCAAGCCCCACCACCAGGCATGTATGAAATCTGTTTCCAGAGGATCAACACCCTGAGCTGGCACTTTGAGGAATAATGAGTGTCCTCCATCTTGCTTTTAGCTGCTCCTCCACCAATAGTTCCTACGTTTATTAGTGCATGGTCATAGGTCAAATAAATGAAGGAATTTTTGATGAAAGAAATGAAGAACACAGCATAGTTGGGCAATGATATTTTCTGTATTTTATAGTGGCTTTCATCATCACAACTGAAGTAGACATGAGATACTACAATGATTTGCTGAATCCAATTCCAGAAGAATTCATTTCTGTCTCCCTCATACTACATTGCATGGTAGAACAGGTAAGTAAACTGAGCCTTTTCCCGGAGAGCAACCTAAAGTCAGTCACTTTATCTCTCCTTGCTTCCATGTTAATCACGATTTTTTAAAATTATATTTATAATATCTGAATCTATTCTCATTTATAAAGTGTAGGACATTTCAGATAAAACTAAAATTTGCTATCCTCATCCGCATCAGTCCTCTTTCTTTTGCTCTGCTCTGAAAGAGTTCATGTAACATTCCCTGAAAATTTGGTAGACCATATCATTTAAAACTGTCTCTGTCTAGTGTTGTTTTAGTGGAAAAGGAAGAGATCATGGACAGGTGAGTGGGTGTTAGTGGTCTTCAACTTAAATCTTTCAAATTTCTTTTGTACTTAGACTTTTCTACTTTTGAGGCCAATATTAGTTGTATTTTTCATGTAAGTATGTTGATTTTATTTGACTCTCAGTATGATACAAAGTTCTTTCTATTATTCACTCAACTGCATTTTAAAAATTTCGTTTATATAACGATGTGATGTTATGATGGGATGAAGATTAAGTATGAACTGCCTGATGGAAAACTGATGGGGAAAGGATAAAAGCATTATTTACAGATATGCAGTGATATGGAGGCCAAATAAAAGAAGTCAGGCCACAAACCAGGACCAGGGGCAAGTTCAGTATTCCCACACTGCCTGTGCAAAGGTTGAGACCAAGCACGCCAACAACCTAACACCCTTTGTTTCCTCTCTTGTAACTGGTGTAATGTACTTGTGCCCTCTTTTTTCTTGACCATGGCTGCTAATGGTTTATCTATTATATTGGTCTTTTCACATAAACAGCATTTAGTTTCATTGATCAATCCCTTTTTTACTTTTTTAAATTGGTGCATATTAATCATACATCGTGAAAGTTTCATTTTGGACATTTCCATATATGCATACAATGTACTTTGATCAAATTCACCTCCTTGTTCCTCCCTCTTATCACTCCTCCTCCTCCTCCTCTTCCCTTTCTCTTACCTAGTTATCCCCTCCTTTATTTTCATGGCCTTATTTTCTTTACTTCCCCCAAGTTGTACAAGTGAGAGAAAATATGAGATACTGTCTTTGTGGGACTGACTTATTTCACTAAACATCATGATCTCCAGTTCCATCCATTTCCCTGCAAATGACTTATTTCATTCTTCTTCAAGGCTTATTAAAACTCCATGTGTATATATACCACATTTTCTTAATCTATTCATTAACTGATGGGCACCTAGCCTTTTTTCTTTTTCTTTAGTTAATTTCCTCATTTATCTTTATTGTTTCTTCTTTGTGCTTTCTTTGGGTTTGTTTTGTATTTCATTTTAACTGAAAACTTTTCATTTATTTTCAGTCTTTCTTTGCTTTGCTTTACTTAAGGCTTGCATTTCCTTTTGAGGGTTTCCATCTAGTCAGTCTTTTACATACTTTTTTAAATCCATAAATCATTATGATCTTCACCCCTTATTACTGGTTCCTAATATTATTGCACTGTGGTCGTAACACATAGCCTGCAAGTTAACAGGTTAAATTCCTGAGACTTCTTATGTGACAGATATACAAGGTCAATTCTCTTTTTTTTTTTTTTTCAGTACTGGGGTTTGAACTCAGAGCCTTCTAGGCAGGCACTCTACCACTTAAGCCACTCTGCCAGCCCATTAGATCAATTTTTGCAAATGTTTCATATGTATTTAAAAATAATTTGTTATTCACACTGTCAGTGTATATGTACTACTTACAGACACCTGGCACTGTGCTACGTACTTTGAATCTATCAACTCATCTAATCAAAACAATGCTATGAAGCAGGAATAATTTCATGCCCCATTCTACAACCAAGAAAACCAAGGCATATCAACAACTGATGAATGGATCAAGAAAACAGGGTATATATACACAATGGAGTTTTACTCAGCCATAAGGAATAATGACATGGTTAGAAGGTAATGGATGCAATTGGAGAACATCATATTAACTGAAGTAAGCCAGATTCAGAAACACAAAGGCTGCATGTTTTCTCTGATACATGGAAGATAGATCCAAAAGATAAACATATACACAAACCAAGCATGATCATTTACAAACTCAGATGTAGAACATGTGTGTAACAGTGGAACTACTCTATGGAACTTGGAGAAAGAGGGAAAGGAAAAGAGACTGATAGAGCATCAGTAATATTGTAAAACATAAGATCTGTGAAGGTAGAGGATATGAGGATGTGTATTGAAAGCTGTTGAAAATGGGGAGTGGGAGGTAAAGGAGTAAGGGAGAGAAATAGAAGGGCTTGAATGGACCAGAGTAAAGTACACTCACAATGGGCATACACTGAGAAACCCCTTTCAACATCAATTTAAATAACAATTATGAAAGACAGGACTGTAAAATAGGTATAGTGGGGGGGGTACTACTGAGGGGGATGGTGAATGAAGGAGGTTAAGGTGAGGATGTATGGTTGATAGACTTCATATACTTATATGAAATAGAACAAAGAAACCTCTTGCAATTGCTTTAAGTGGGGCAGGGAGGAGGTTGAGGAGGAGAGACAATGAGAGTGATCCAACCAATGTACAATATAAACAATATAAGCCAAATTGGAATTGTCACTGTGAAACCTCCCCTCCATATAATGGATACATCTTAATAAAAAATGTTTATAGTAAAAAAAGAAAGTTGAGGTTTAGAAAGGTTAAGCAGCTTGCCCAGGGTAGTGAGTGGCAGAAAGGACTTTGGAGACTAGACAGTCTGCCTGGGAAGGTATTTTGATGGCAATGCTCCATTTTCTGCTGATGATGTGGGTCCAAAATCTGTTTTTTCTTGCTGCTATTAAAGTTTCTCCTTAAAGTTAATAACACAGTCTAAGTAGAGGGGACTATAAGTGTCTGGGAAAGGGATTTTAGAGAAGAGGGGGTAGCAAGAAAAGGTAGGAAAAGGAAGGGGGGATGTGATCAAGGATCAATATATGCATGTATAGAAATTCCACAATGAAACCCATTAATGGTACAATTAATATGTGTTAATAATTATAATAAAAAGTGGCATATAAAAAAATTAAACAAAGAGGAGCTTGTCTAGATATATTAGACAAGCTCCATTTTCTGCTTCTATAACAAAAACATCTAACATTAGTTAATTTTATAAAGAAAAGATGTTTATTTACCTCATGGTTTTTGTAGGCTGAAAGCTCAAGATCCAGCAGCCCTATTGATTTAATCTCTGATGAGGGCTGCCTTGGCTGGGTCATATCACAGCAGGTAGCATCTTAACTAGAGCATGTGCAAGAAGGAAAGACCACATGGAGAGCCAGGAAGCCAGAAATAGGGAGAGGACAGGCTTACTTTTTTTAAATAACAAACCCTTCACAAAAACTAACTCAAGTTCCAATGCAAACTATCTTCATGCCTTTCAGGGGCAGCAGCCCCCCTGAACTCCCACTAGGTTTTACTTCTTAAAAGGTCTCAGTACCTCAACACCATCACACTGAGAAACAAGCCTCCAACACATGTACCTTGGGGGATAGAGCACTCCCAAAACATAGCTCTGGGTGTGGCTTTATTTATTTCATCATATATTGTAATTATAAAGGAATTATAAACTGTTTTCCAACCACATTCTAAATAAAATCACTTACAGTATCCCATAAAGGCCCTAAAATTATGTTTCTGGGCTCTGTCTTCTATCTCCTGTCCCCTAAATCTCTCTCTCTCTCTCTCTCTCTCTCTCTCTCTCTCTCTCTCTCTCTCTCTCTCTCTCCCTCAATCTTCTTCTCCCTCCTCTCCCTCTCTCTCTCATTACATACACATATGCGCATGCACACGCGCGCGCGCACACACACACACGTTTTATCTACATAGGTCTTCTGTTTCTTCTTCAGATACATTACTAAATGCTACCTTGCCCTCACTCCAGCTTCTCTGACTAGTTTACTTTCCATGTCTGCCTGGTGGATACTCTTTGTGATCCAATCTCCATGGAAGTAGCCTCCGACCACGTGGAAAAAGCAGTTGCACAACACACAGACCGTTCTCTACCACATCACTCTGTTCTTATCAACACTGTTGTTAATTAAAGTACTTCCTGGTTTTGTTTGTTGCCTTCCTCCTCCCACCAGACCATAAGCTCCCTGCAAGCTGAAGCTTGGTGCTCAGCACACAGTAGCTCCACCTGACCCATTGTACAAACTGAATATGTATTTGCTAAATTAATGAGTAATGAAGATTTTTCTGAGAAAAATCTTCTCACATCTTCAAATATTATTTCCCTTGTGCGGTCACCTTATTATTGGATGACTGTTGGAACTTCAGGACTTTCTTTCTTGTCTTTAAATCTTCTTTTAATTTTATCCATTTAGGAATTTTGGCTTAATTTCCTACTAATTCTTTCTTCAATGAAGTTCAGTCGGCTATTGAAATTTTGTTTTAGCAATAATGCTTCTGGCTTGCATACTCTAATTTCTTTTCACAATTGCCCATTTCTGTTCTTAGTTTAAGGAGGAAGCACACTTATTTCTCTCTCTCTCAGTACATAAAATATATATTTGAAAGTCCTTTTCAGACTCTATCATCTATGCTACCTCCAATAGATGTTTTGCTGTTTATTGACTGGGATATTGTTCTAGCCAGTTACACTAATATTTTCATTTAATTGGTCCATAAGTTTTTTATAAGACCAATGGTTTTATTTTGCTAATGAATTTGAAACTGTGGACATGGCTTAAGTGTCATAGTACCTGCCTGGCAAGAGTGAAGCCCTGAGTTCAAACCCCAGTATCATAAATAAATAAACAAGATTTGGAAAAGCTCAAGAGTCCTGTAGATCTTGCAGTGTTATTTTATTTACCATAGTCTTTCTTGTTTTATCCAACTTAACTCAAAGCAACAAACATCCACTAACCATCCACCATGTTCCAGATACCAAACAGGACAGCTGGTGAGGTCAGTGTCTGATACATAGAAAGTTCCTAGAGTAGTGAGATGGCATTCTATAGGCTAGAACAGTTTGAATTGGCTTTTCATGATTCCAATGGCCCCATGAGATGGTTGGAAGATGAAAAAGTGGAAACAATGAGTGGCTCTTTTCAAAGTGATACGTTTATAAAAGATGAAGACAATGAGACTGTTTTGTTATTCTAGAGTAGCAATAGGTATGTGTGGGGGGGATTATTTTGCAGTAACCACGGGACATTTGACAATATCTGGAGATGGGTTGTCACAGCCAGCAAGGAGAGACTTAACTTGCATCAAGGGCATAGAGGGTTGCTGAACACCCCGTAATGCACCAGGCAGCCTCTCCATAACAAATAATCATCTAGTCTGAAATGTCACTGACAAAGTCAAGAAACCTTATAGAGGGATGTAAAATTGTGATGATGTATATAAAACTTAAAGGAAAAACTGTATATTAGATGTTTATCTTATTTATATTTTAACCACTTTTACTTATTTACCATGAAAAATAACAAAGCATTTGATCTTTCTAGATCTCACTTTGCCTACATAAAAGAAACTGATCTCATTCTGTTATACTTTTTTATTCTTGAAGAAAGAATAAGGGCTTAGCCTAAATCCCAGTACTTCTACTACATAACCTTGGATTTGGACTAATTACCTAATTTTACTCACCCTAGTTTTCTTCCCTATAAAATGGAAAATAATATCTACCCAAGATTTCCTATTTTAATACAACCATTAAAATTATATTTAATGCATGGATTGTAAATATTTTTCTTTTTCTTTTGGTCATTACTGATACTTTCCTGCCCTTATGTGTAATCACTTATACTTTATTCGCAGGCCTTATCTCTTTCTCACTAAAAGCATGAATATTAGAAATGAGTTAACCATTAAACTAATTCCTCCCAACCATTTTTCCCCATAGGTTGTGGCAACTGAAGAAGATCTTATCCCCCCAAGTCTGGTGAAGCCATCCCCCAGAGCAGACGGGTTAGACCATAGGATTGCTGCTCACATTGTGTCCATCCTACCCTCCCTCTGCCTCTCAGAGAGGGAGAAAAAGGTCAGAAAACATGAGAAAGCCAAAGAGTTCTCATACTTTAAAAAAAGTAAATATTATGTCCTTAAATCAGTATTATTTCAATTTAAATAGAACCTCCATGAAATATTCTTAACTGAGGAAGAAAGGGAAACCAAAGCATTGCCCAAAGGCCCTCTCCTCCTGAACTACAATGATGCCCTCGCCCACAAGAAGTATGCACTAAGGGTAAGTGCGGACATGAGAAAAAATGGAGATAAGGAGAAAGCATGTCAGCAAAGAAAACTTGCCCAATTATAAAGGTTCATTAATCACCGAATTGATCATGTCTACCTTCAGATTTGCATTAAAACCTTATAGTTAATTGCTGTAAACATCGGCTGGTGTGAAAAACTAGTGGATGCCAGAAAAGGGTCTCCAAATGGAGAGGTCAATAACATATCTGTGTGAGGCTTTGGCAGCTTGTCACTGTGAATGAAGGATCAGTCGTTTCTGTGCACCATGAACTTCTGGCAGAGTGAGAACTAGTGTTTTCGACCTTCAGCATAATACCAAGTTTGTCTTCCTCAATTACTACTGATTTCCCCTGTTTCCAAATAATGAGATTGAAAGTATCACGTTTAGCCTTCTCCATATGCATAAGGCACTTGATATCTTACTTTAATGTCTTCTGTCATGTTGCTCTTTTTTTTGTCAGGACCAAAAGAATTTTGATCCAGTTCAAATTGAGCAGGAGATGCAGTCCAAGTTGCCACTGTGGGAATTCCTTCAATTCCCTCTGCCCCCACCTTGGAACAACACTAAACGTCTAGCTACCATTCATGAGCTTATGCACTTCTGTACAAGTGGTGAGTGTACATTGCTTTGTCTTAACTTAAATTCATTTTAATTAATGGCTATATATGCCTCCTTAAATTATACTCTTATTTGCAAAAAAGGATTTTGATCATTGAGAGACCTTTCAAAGGCTAAGGCAGATATCTTGATGAAGTACATACCAGTGGTATGATGGCTGTGATGAATAACGTTCTGCAAGGTGACGCACTAGATTTTCTTTCCACTGTGTGTCACTGACCAGAACAATCTTCTTCTTTGCTTCCTCTTTCCCCACTCTGCCCCATATCCCCACCACTGGCATTGTTGGAGGTGGTGTGGTGATTCCGCCCTACTGAAGAATAATGGTTCATATGTTTTTAAAAATTAAAAAAAAAGTCTTCCATCTCAAGTCATCAGAGTTCTTTCCTAAAACACAATGCCATTCTTCTCTCCATGCCTCACCACGTGGCAAACCACACAAGCAGTAAAATAACATCACAGCAACATTACCTGGGAAGCAGCAAGGCCAAGCCTGACCAGGCAACTTTGTCAAATTCAGAGATAATGGGACTGAATTCTCATCCAACATTCTCTGGTTCCAGCCAACACAGTTTTCAGAAGAGTGTTGGTGCTCAAAGGAAGCTTGAAGTGTCCTCCTTATATCCAATCTAGATCAATAAATCAGAAATAATATGTACTTAGATTTTAACATATCTCTACACCTGTCAATCAGTCTATCTGTTCTAAGATTATGAACCTATCATATTCCAATATGAAGAATAATCACTGAATGATTCTGTATAGTAGATAAGAAAATTCACGGTGAGTCTGTAGCCTGTCCTATCATGAAGAACAAAGAGGAAAATCCACTGCTTTCACCAGAACCTCACTCTTAAATAGGGAAACTATATTTTTGCTCCTTGTTGGTTGGCAATGTTGAAGTTGAGATCATCGTTTCACTATCTGTCTAATCACGTGCCTCTACTGGCCACACATTAGAAACCTGGTATTTCAATCAGACACTAGAGGCCTTTTCATTACTTGAAAGTTAAATGGTGATTAGCGTCAAAGAGGGAAAGCATCAGAGAGTAAGGGAGTCTCCTTTGACAGAAAGACTGTGGGAAAGAAGGGTTACTAAGAATATCTAGAATAGTCTGTTTGCCAATGGCTCACGCTTGTCATCTCAGCAGGAGGTGGAGATTGGAAGGATTCCAACCCCAGGCAGTAGTTCACAAGACTGTCCTCTGTTGGGGAGAAAATAGAGGCCATCTCTGAAGCATTAATCTCACACAATCATTTTATTTTTTCTCGTTGAATTCCATGTCTCTTTGTTAGTCTCCACATTTCACCTCTTTATCAACTTTTAAAGTTGAAGAAACAAATCATATTCTTCTTTGAGTCCTAGCACCTATGAAAAAGTCTAATGCTTACTCATAGTATAGCCAGTGAGTGAGAGAATGGACAGACATGCAAAAGAATAAATACACAATTGCATAGAAACAACTGAGCATCAACAAACTTTGAAGTGAAGCTATAAAAAGCAGTTCATGCGAGTGGGAGAAGGCCTTTCCTGAACCTGAGTAAACAGGAAAACTTACTGAATATAGCAACCTGTAATAGACACAAGCGAATTAATTTCTCCAGTTTAAATTATAACCTCATCAAATGGTACTTTTACTCAAAAATAAGTTCAATCAATATGGTACCCTTGAATGTACATGCAAGTAAATATGGATACCTAACACTAATTAAGCTATGAAAAAGTTTGGGGCATCTCCTGGATCTATTGTGTCTTGACTGTGTAGTTTTTTTATTGTTGGGTACCTCTGGTATTTGCTGCAGGCTTGTGGAGTCCACATCACTCCCTTGTCATTTTGGTAGACAGACCCCTTGCTTGCCCCTTTGCCAGCCCTTTACCATTTGTTAATAAGAGTATTTCTAGAAACACAGGACCTGCTTTCTTACAGAAGTCTTGAGCTGGAATGAAGTAGAACGAGCCTTCAAGGTGTTTACTTTTGAGAGTCTGAAGCTTTCTGAGGTTGATGAAGCAGGGAAACTAAAGCCTTCTGAGATGATGTGTGGGACAGATGCAGAGAAGTTCAACATACCATGGGACAACCCTGCCAGATTTGCTAAGCAGATAAGGCAGAAATACATACAGAAAATGAATGCCCAAGAGTCCAAACCAAAAACAGGTACACTGCGTGGAAGAAATGAAAAGCATTCCTACATTTATGACTGTTGATCCTTCTAATCTTGTATCTAACAAATGCTCTTTGCACTGGCTAGACACTGAAAACAAAGACAGAATAATATTTGTGGATCAGGATAGGACAAGGTCTGTGCAAGATAAGGAGAACAACGGGAGCCTTTCAGTTCCTACTGAGTCTGATGTTGACGTGAATACTGTGAAATCCTTAAGCCCTGATAGAGTGCCATCACAGCAGGAGACCAGCATAAAGACTGAGCCTCAACCAGATCCTCTGGGTAAGTCAGCAGTGTGCAGACACTATTATAAGATGCATAAGCAAAAGAAAAAAAAGTGAGGAAAAAAGAAGGTTCAAGTAATATTATTAAAATTTATACTTAAATGCCTGCTTACTTCAGTTGAAAAACTATTTAATATCTAAGTTGTTTGGCTAAGTAAATATAACTCAGTGTTATTTCTCTGTTCTCCTTATTCAACCCATTTTTCAAAACATCCTATTGCCTCTGAGGACGTTCTTTCTTTAGAAAACCTAGCACAAAGAACAAAATGAAGACTTCCGTCATTATTATTTCACAGGACTATCATGATTATATGCTAAAATTAGTTTAAAATAACTTGTAATAACATAGTGCAATGCCTAGTGAAGAGCTTGGTTGGCACAAAATGAATGCTCAGTGAGTATCCCTTCCCTTCCTCTCCCCCTCTTAGCTTAGATCATCACTTTTATTCTTGAATATAGCATTACAAATAGGGTTATGTTAGGAGGTATAGAAATACAGAAAGATATTCAGCTAAGTTTCTATTCTGCTGCTTTACAACAAGCTGTCAGATTAATCTACCTAAAATATAGCTGCTTTATTTCCCTGCTTATAACCCCCAATGGTTCCTGAATACCTGCAAAGTAGAACTCAAGCCCTTTGCTTGTTTTATATGCTCCTCCCGTTGTACAAAATAACTTTTCTAAAACCTCTTTCTACCTTTTCCTTTTGTTCACTCATTCTGTGCTCTAGCTAGGTCCTACATAATTAGGTCCTACTTCTTTTGTACAGCTTTCTCTTTTCAATCTCTGTGCCTTTTTTTTACCCACAATACTTGCCACCTGTAGTTCTCTTTTCCATGACGATTAGATTCAATGGCACCTCCATGAAGACTTCTCAGAAGAAATGCTGCCCTTGGTCTTCCCGTTGTCATAATTAATCTGCATTTCCTTCAGGCATTAGTTGTTTACTACTTATTACAATTATTCATATGCCTAAACTAAGCCCTCCATAATACCATAACTCCTTGATTACAGGTATGTTTGTTTTAAAAAATACTAATCCTATACCAAAATTATACAAAATATGTTCTCACATTACAGTAAAATTATGGTGGATGTGTCAATCACAAAAAGATAATGAGAAAAATCACCAAATGTCTCAAATCTAACAAATAACACTATATATAACTCCAGGGTCAAAGAACAAGTTACTACAGAAATGAGGAAGTATTTCACAGTAAGCAATAATGAAAGCACTCAGAATAAAATATTATAGAGTGCCACTACAGAAAATAACTAACTCCAAGAGATGTTTATACTTTGAATAAATTTATTTTTAAAAGAAGCCTGGAAATTGACTGTCTCAACACCAACCTCAAATTAGATAAAGATGAACAAAATAAATCCAAATAAAGCAGAAGGATGAAAGCAAAAATAAGAGTAAATAAATGAAATAGAAAACATAAAAGGTAGAGGAAGAACAAAAAAATACAAAAGTTTGGTTGTCTGAAAAGACAAAACAGATAAATGTTTTATACAAGGATAATCACAAAGAAGGAAAAGCAAAATAACCATATCAGGAATAAATTTATATCACAAGTAGAAATCATATCAGGGGATGAGTGTGGTGGCTTATTTTTGTCTATAATTCCAGAAACTCGGGAGGTAGGAGTGGGAGGATCAAGGCCTGAGGCAACCTGGGCAAAAGCAAGACAGCCTATCTGAAAAACAAACTAAAAGCAAAATGATTGGGAGCAAGGCTCAAATGGTAGAGCACTTACTTAGCAAGCAGGAGGCCCAGAGTTCAATCCCCAGTACCACACAAAAAAAAGTAATATCAGGAATAAAGAAACAGACTTCTCTCAGATCCTACAGAAATTAAAAAGATATAACCAGGATATAAATAACTTTATTCTACTAACATTGAGAATGAAATGAGAAAACTACTGGAAAAGTGTAACTTATCAAAAATGATCTGAGAATAAGTTAAGACCTCTGAAGGTCTTATAATCAATTAAATAAATAATTTAATTGGTCAAAAGTTATTCCAAATAGGACACACCAAGCCTAAATGATTTCACTGGCAGATGCTATCAATCACCCAAAAAAGAAATAATTCTAACCTTAACAAAAATTGTTCAGAAAATTAAAAATTAGGGTATCTGCCCCTAGTCATTTTATGAAACTAGCATAAACTTTATAATAAAATTCACAAGGACAATGCAACAAATAAAATTATAATACAAACTCATTCATGAACACAGATGCAAAATTCCTAAATAAAGCACAAAAATTGATCTAGGAATACACTAAATGATAATAATATTTTCACAAACAAGTTACATGTTAACCAGGAATAGAAGGAAAATACATATTTTATAAAAAATAGTATAATTTGTCAGTAACACATTAGTGAGAAAAATCACAAAATCAGTTCAGTAGATATATAAAAGGTACTTAAACCTCCATAGCAACTTAGGGAAAAAAAATCTAAGCAAACTGGCAATAGAAGGAAAATTCTTTCTATTTAAATTACAAAGGTAATTTTAAAATTGTGATGATAAACATATCAAGACAAAAAGTTGAACCATTTCCCAATGTCTACCATGAACTCTTACAGTCTATATTGTATTAGTGGTCATAACCAACACATTGGGACAAGAAAGGAAGATAAAGATATCAGATTTAAGGAGGAAAAACAAAACTGTCATTATTTGTTAACACTGTGTGTAGAGAAACCCAAAACAATCCACAAAAAAATTAGAGCAAGAGCTTAATAAAGAAGGTTGTGATTGTTGAAGGGTATGCCTAAGATGTTCAAGGTGATGGGCTTTCCTTTACAATTATTCATTAACTGAACTATTTATATTTTATTCATTGTTCTATGTGTGTTATATTTTGTAATTTTAAAAACCACTTTAAAAAGTAAGTGGTCAGAGCTACAAGAGAGTAGACATTAAGTCAGTATTGACTAATGGTCATCTTGCCATTTTGTTTATCTAGGTGAGGATAGAGAAAGTAAACAATGGACTAGAATTAGGGAAAAGCTACCTGCTTATTGGTAGACAAAAGAGAGAAGAAAGTAACATTGATTTAATATTGCCCTGCTATGTTCCAAGCACTGTGCTAAGATATCTTCTGCATGTTAACTAATACTTTAACATCAAGCCTATGAGTAAGATTCTAATATTTTAGTTCTACAGACAAGGAATCAAGACCAACAGAGGAAAGTAACTTGTTCAGTTATGGACAAATAGATACAAACCAATGCTTCTTCCATTGTGCCTGTGGCTTCCTCAGTTCCAGAAATTCTTTCTGATGCATCTAATGGTTTGGCCACGCTCACAATGTCTTCACGCTGCTTCTTATCCTGATTTTGTTGTCTTTTCTTCCTTCCCAGTAGAGTGGATTCCCTATTTCTCTGACCTAAGTAAAATTGCCTTACCTATTAGCCTAGTTCACAAGAAAAACAAAGGCCAAAATAAGTTAGCCTGAGTTGTTATGGCATTAGTACATCCTGTGGGAACACAAACATATGGAAAAGAAGTCACTTTGAGTTAATATGGAATCAAAATAAACTGGGAGAGATGTAAGACCTAAGGGTTTTTTTTTTTTTTTTCTTTGTTTTGTTCTGTTTTGTTTTTCTTTAAAGCAGCTGGTTTAGAACTTTTCTCAGGCAGCTTTTGCCACCTGCTGGTCAAACCACATAAATTGGTACTCTGCATCCTGTGACAATTAGATGATTATAGCAACTTCCTAAATCCACAGGACTGAAATCACTATCATGGATAGTGTTTTGTAGAGGTCAAGCAATTTTGGGGGTGCTTCTACATAGTGAATGCAGGCCTTCCTCCCAGCACCACTGAATCTCGGTGGAGGAGTACAGCTGGCTTTGGTGTCTCGCTATGGCTGTTCTGTGGATAGGGGATTTTTGTTGTTGTTGATCCTACATTTTTTCCCTAACTCTGAATCATGCTTCAAAGGCAGCTCTTTAATTCTCTTTAAACAAAGCAGAAATCATCCATGTATTTCCTGCACAACCACTTTGCCATCAAACACATTTATGTGCCTGTTCCCGGACATGAAGGGCTGAATATTTGTGCTTTTCTTAACCAAACACTGGATTTCCATCTGAGACTGTTTTTGAACTTGACAGGGCCTATTGGATATTTATGAAAAACCTGAGAGCTGATAACCATGAGGCTATAGGTTTAGATGTGCCCTTTCTGCTTGTTGGGTGTTTTTTTAATAAAGTAACTGCTTTGCAGAGGGATCTTGTTATCTCTAAAGTAAAACAGATTAGGAGAGCTGTTTTTCAAAGGGATGAGAAAGCATCCATTTCCAGATGTGTCAAAAACTACTGAATCACACTGTCAAAGGATTATGCGACTGAAAGCAGAAATCAGACAAAAAGAAAAAAATGAGTTTTACTTTGGTATTAAATAAAGAGTTCAGCTTAGTATTCACGTGCTCTCTCTTTTGACAAACTAACTGATGCATAACTTTTTAGAACATATTTTCTAAACTAGAGACTTTTTCTGCTGGATCCTTAGACACAGGAGGGAATATCAAATCTCCCGGAAATCTGGCAGACCACAGAATAGAATAATTTTTATTTCACAGATTTCATATCAATTGCTTCAAGGACACAGGAGACATCATGGTTATTTAGAGTTATAGTTGGCCTGAGTTTTCTCTTGAATGGATGTGTTTATATAAATGCCGGACTGAATTGGCTTGATAGTTTGTCTCCAAATCAAAGTGGGACATACTTGCTGTCACCTTCAGCAGCCCAAGGCAAGATGGAACTATTAATGAAAATGTAAGTAGCTATGCTCCTGAAAGAGAAAAACACTGGCCTGTCCTTGATGAGCATAACTAACTACTCCCTGTGGAAGCCCAAATACAAGTCTCTTTGCCATAGAATATAGTTAAATCTTATGCTTCCCCCCAAATAAGCCTTTGTTACAGATTTTCTTCCACATTTCTGCTTTTCTGTATGGTTCTACACTCATATCTCTTTTCAATGTGATGTAGATTTTCCTCATTCAATCAAAAGAAAAAACTACTGAGTTCCTACCAGGGGCCAGGTACTTGAGATGCAGTGAAGAAAACAAGGTGATGTCCCTGTCCTCCAGGATCTGACACTGCAAGGGAGACATGGGCCACAAATGATAAATAGTATCAGACACTGAGAGATATTGTGATCACAAGTAAAGCAAACGAAGAGGCAGAAGGGTCTTGATGTGACAAGCATTTGAAATAGGCAAAGATCTAAGAACAAAGCCTGACAGACAGAGGAAAACAAGACAGCAAACAGGCCAGTCTATACAAAGTGGAAAAGGCAAGGGAGGTGAAGGGGATGCATTTGAGGAGTTATATGGCAGCCACCTCGTAGATAGAGTTTGCAATTATTCTAAGGAGGAAAAGAAGTCAGGCTGGCTCAATTGTTCAGCTGCATCAAAATGTGCTCCCACGAGATCTACCCTCCTACATGTACTCCACTTCTTGGGTCAAATTTGCAAAAAAGTTACAGTATATACCTTGTTGGTTTCCCCATTAAAGATTCACTGTCACAAGAGCAAATGACACTTTCTGAGACATTCACAGTGCAGCTGTCTGTTTATGCCTACTTATCATGGAACATTTTTTTTTCCTGGCAATACAGAAATCAACAGCATGAATCTGTTCCCTTCCAAGCCATTCAGATGGCTGTTGGCTTCATAGCCAAGGATGATGTCACACTCCCAGTCATCATATGTGGTTACTCTTAGGTCACAAGGAGAGCTAATGTACGTGACTCATATCAGTACATGGTATGGTGACTTGGAGTCCAACTACCCATTCATTTACTCATGTAACTTAACTTTTGTGAAACTCCATCTGTAAATCAGCAGGTGCTAACAAATTAAAATTACTGATGAGTGCAAGAAGAGCTCTGCAGAATAGTGAAATGGTACCATTTTCTAGCAGGTGGAGCATTTACCTGCTAGTTCTCCTGCCTGTACATCCTCTGTCCTTCCCTAATCTGTCATCCACCAGGTAAGACCCATAGCAATTTGAAAAGGCTTTGTGATAGCCAGCAGCACAAGACGAATGACATGTACTAAGCAATTGATTTAGTTTAATCAGTAAAAACTTGCAATTTGTATAGGTAAAGGCACATTGTGAGAAGTGAGTGATATACAGCCTGAAAGCAGAATATTTGATATGATTTAGTACACATCAGATAAGAAGCCAGGTTCCTTTCAAAGAGTTCAGTATAACTTCCAGACAGGCATTGATTTAGAATTATTGACACAAACACCTTTTTGGAGGCACGAAACATGGCTTTCAGAAATCACCTTTTCAGCACAGAAACATAGATCAAATGGGCAACAAAAAGGCACAGCACTGACTGAAGGGAAGAACAAAGCTGGAACACAACTGGTTGTTGGTGTCTTTGATTTACAGAGCAGACCAGGAACAATGAGATCAAAGATGAAGCAGTTGCAAAGGATGATTCTTCTCTTGAAAAGGTAAGGAATTATTTTCCTGAAAGAGGAGGTGACAAGAAAAGATGATCTGAGAAAACTGACCCAGATTAATAAATGAGAGAAAGAAAAAAAGAGGGATGGGGGAAGGGAGGGAAGGAAGGAGACAGGGGAGAGGGAAACAGAGAGGAAAAGAGAGATGCTTAAAAGAAAAAGATGGATGTTTCAGGAGAGGGATTATTCAGATATCCCCATACCAGCTCCAACTGGAGAGAAAGGAGTTAATTTTACTAGCTTTACCAGCTTAAGCAAAACTTCCCGGCTCCTTGTTCCTCTCTAGACAGTGTGGCTTGGCAACCTCACAAACACCTGCTGACCATACAGTCATGTAGAACTAACGTCGTCTTGAAGTGAGTTCAGAAAACCTGCCTGTAATTGCTAACAGGACTCAGAAGAGTATAACCTAACAATAAAAATATTTAGATTATGTTGCACATATAAAAAAAAAAAGTCAAAGACATACTCTTTCTGGCAGCTGCTCTCCTAAAATGTTGCCATATGGATTTATACATATGCAGATTTGCCCAATTAAATGGAGTGCATGCTGGTTAGTTGACAGAGTCCAAGAGGGCTCCAGTTGGACTTTAACAAATTATAGCCAAACTTGTGTTCCTATGATTTTTTTTAGAAACCCAAGAAGATGGTGGTGGAAGCAGATTTAGAGGACATAAAGAAAGCGCAACAACGCAGTCTAATGGACTGGAGTTTCACTGAACACTTTAAGCCCAAAGTCCTGCTTCAGGTATTTATGAACTGTGATTCTCCAGGAGACGGTTGGATAGGTCTGGTGAGTAGGTTTGTGATTTAGAACAGTTCACTTTGAGGTCACTCAACTCTAGTTCCGATCAATATTCTCATTCACTTCGGCCATAAAATGAGTTTCTTCCCAGACCCAGCTATCCAGTCCCAGAAAGTCTCCAAAATAGTTTAAAATATACTTTCCAAAAGGATGCTTTTATAAAATCTTTTAAGAAATAGAGACACACGAGATTGCTGTGCGGGTATTCTAGAGAAAAAGTAAGGTTTTACTAAGGAATCAACCCCATTTTTGTCAAGATGAGAAAAAAATATTATTTTAGCTTATTCCATTTCACAATATTTTCTGTTTTGAGAAATAGTTCAAAAGAAACTGTGATAGCTAATGTTTACTGATCTCTTGCCATGGCGTAGAAAGTGACTAATATGTTTTTAGCTTATTTATTCTTTGATGTAGAAACTAAATAGTAGAAACTGAAGCACCTTGACCAAAGGTGACTTTTACCACTGATCACATGACTGCTAAGTGAAAAGTAAGATATAATCCCAAGGAATCTGGCCTCAGGACCCAAGCTTTTAACCACTCAGCAAAATAAGAAATCCTAAAACTAAAACTCTTCCCGTTGCCTAAAACTATACGCTTGCTTTTATCTTTTCAATTTGAATTTTGTTTTAATCAAAGTTTCACATCCACATATTTTTAAAGCCAGAAAGTGCTAAGATTCCTATTATGAAATGTAGCAACCTCTTGCCAGGTACCCCACCATGCTTTAACTCCCAAGGGCAAAAATCGTCAATGCATTCAACTGTTTCTTTTTGTTACCTGTCTGTTATCTCTAAATAACAAATAGCTTTTGTTCACTTTTAGTTTTAATTGGGGCCACCATTATCAATTGACTCACATTTGAGAACAAGTTGCGTCCACCCCCATTCAAGACAAACGCACTCATACACAGCCCCCTACATTCACACTAGCACCTCTCTATTATCTGACACTGTCAGACATATCATAGTTTTGGTTAGATCAGTGTTTCATATTTACTTTACTTCAGTTTATAGAAATGCTATTCACAACTGGATACCATGTTATGCTATGATTGTATTTCCTTTTGTTTTCCCTGAGGTTAATAATTGCCTCTTCCCCCTATTTGTTTAGTTAACCGTGTATGATCATTAATTCATCCTTCAACTCTTTACCATATAGAATATTCTAGCATAATTCATAGTCCGTCAGTTTTATTGTCTCTGAGGATATCTTGGGCATATACTCTAAGTTTCTGCATGCCTGTGGTCCTAGGATCTCCTTTTACCCACCATCCTGCTGTACCCACTGTTTTTCCTTCTAGATAGATACTGTATCCTTCATCTCGTGTCTTCTTTTCTCTTGAGTTCTTCTCTGTTTGCAAAGCACCATCTCTTAAGATATCCTGCAGACACTGGATATTTGAAAACATCTTAATGCTACCTTTCAGTGACTCACAGCTTGACTTTTTAAAATGCTAAGTTAAAAAAACCAATTTTCTCCCCCTGCACAGGACTGTGTGCATCCTGCCAAGCTGCATTATATTCTGTACTGTGTGCAATAAAGAAGTTTGCTTTTCATTTAAAAAAAAAGAATTTTCCTTTAATTTTTTAAATTCCTCTATACTCTTATGGCTTCCTAGATTGTTCTATACAATCAACTTCTGGTTCAAACAGAAGTTTGACCATATTTGTTCCTTCTCACCAGGAGATGTTATGACCTTCTCTGTTCCTGTGCTCTGGATATTCTGTTGACATGTGTGTTTCTCTCCCTACATGTTATTCTGGTGAGCCCAGTGCAATCTGGAAACTCCTGTCCCTACATGTGGGGAAATGTTCTGTTTCTTCTCTTCTTTCTTCCTGGAACTCCGCTTACTATGGTGTTGGACCTCTTGGACTGAAGCTCCCATTCCTTTGTCTTTTCTCTCCCCATTTCCAAAACTTAGTCCTTTTGTTCTGGAATTAGTGCTCAGCTTCCATTCAATCCTTATATTAAACCCTCTGCTTCTTTCATCATTATTTTAAGTTCCTAAACTTCTATTTATCATTCCAATTTACCTTTTTATAGTATAATTTCAACACTTTGGATACAATATCTTATCTCTGTGAGTATATTAAAGTACTTTGAAGTGGTTTTCTCCTTGAATTGGCCCCTTTTTCCTCCAAGTTTTTCTCTTTCTTTGTTTCTTTTTGTAGGAGTAGCTTTTTGGTCTCACTTTTTCATGTTAGAGGGCAACACCACTATTTCCTTTCTGTGTTCATGTTAACAATGAAACACTAACACTGTGATAGGAAGTGCTGGTCAGTAACCAACTTCATTGTTGGGGGATTTGACTGAGTGGTTTCCTTAGGGATCCATCAACGTCTATATGTTAGGTCTGTCCTCCTGGGCCATTTAGATTCTCCAGGAAAAAAAAACAATCTGTCCAAAAATAAATAAATAAATTAAAACAAAAATAAAAAATAAATATAAAAACAAATAAATAAATAGATAATAAATAAATAAATAAACACTGCTTTTCAGTGTTCTGAGAGATGAGTGGTAGAGAAGCAAGTTGGGCTTCTCATATTCACTATGTAGACCTGCATGATCCAGTGAGGTAGCCAGTTGTCAAGTATCACTATACAGGTGGCTCTGTAAGTACTATATATACTGTCTTCAATGACTTATATGAAAGCTTGATATAGCTCAATAATGATTTCTACGTCAATTCATATTGAAAGTCACTACGCAGGTAACTATGAGTGCTACACACAGTGTATGCAGCGACTTAGTATGAAAACTTGATATATCTCAATAATGATTTTTATATCAATTCATGATGAAATTATATACTACTATATATTGAGTTAAAAATATCTATCATTAACATTTCATTTCACCTGTCTCTTCGATTTTTAAAATGTAATGGTTATAAAATCTAGAATTGCACATGTGGCTCGCATTTGTGGCTTACCTTATATTCCTGCTAAGTGTCACTGACTTAGACTTTTCCCAGTATCCTTTTTCTGTGGAATGTGCTTCTCCCTCAGTGATGTCTAGGTCCCCCTGTCCTTAGAACTGACTGGTTCACCTTCTACAGATGACTATCCTGCCCTCTGCTGGAGTGGGAGACAGGCAGCAGCCTGGCAGCTCTGAACTCTCAAGGGGACCTGTGGAGCCTAACGACCTCCTAAAGAAACTAAATTAATTCCCTGGTTTTCATTACTTTCATCTTACTACCATCCTCTTCTTCTGCAATAACCTCTTAGAGGTCAGCCGGCTTCCATCCATGCCCTACCCCATCCATTTACCACATGCCAGGTACTCCATCCCCTTCATCAGAACTTCAAAATAATCTATAGAAATCTTAAATTTAAAAGGAAGTTTTTTAGCATATTATTGTTGAACTGGGGGGTACATTGAGACACTTATAAAAGTTCTTATAATATATCACAGTTGAATTCACCCCCTCCATCATTCTCCTGTATCTCCCCTCCCCCCATTCCTGGAATAGTTTCAACAGGTCTCATTTTTCCACTTCTAAGAGAAAATTTTTATCTATCTCACTAATTGTTTTTCCTGAACACATTGCCTGGCATATAATAGGTAATCATTCTTAATGAAATAATTAACTCTCTAGTTAGTGAGGCCAACAATATTAATATAGAATAAAAAGAAGAAACCAATTAGTAAAAAGAAGTTACAATGTGAACATTTTTCAAATACTGGTTGAGAGCAGTCATAGCTCTATGAAACTGAGTGCTGTATTTCCTAGCAGCCAAAGCAAACATGAAAGAACAAAGATTGCAGAGTTCTCATTATCTAACAGAAGGAAGGATGTATGTTCATCAAAAATAAGCACATTTGCTTTTGTATTTATAGTCTCAGAGGAATTTGTCTTTCAAGAAAAGTCAGAAAGTGATAGATAATAATGGCATGGAAATATTTTTGGTTGCAAAGATTTTCACCACATGTAGGTTTTTTTGTATTGCCTCACAGGAAACACATGTAAAAGTTTCAGTGTCACACTATAAAGACACTCATACAGGGGACTAGATTGAGGAAGTAAATGTATTATTTTTGTTATACGATCAGTGTAGAAATGAAAGCAAAAGTAAAACAACTCTTTCAAAACATGATATGCAATTCCATGCCTTCAGATCATTAAACAGCAGAGAAGGAAAAGCTGGCTACATTGACATTGAAAACACAAACAAAAGCCTACAGCTGTCCAATTCATTATCATGTAGACAATTCCCTTATTGTTGATTGGCAGTGAGTAGGAAACAAGATAAATAGCTGCCCCTGGCCCCATATTATGGGTGTTATATTTGAAGAAAGGCCAGAGTTGGATGGCAAATAGCAACATGTGTCAGAAAGACCACTCACCTTATTTCACTGCAGAGCAGCACGCATTCTGTGGAGAGTAAAATGGTAAAACCTGGAGCTGAAAGACTGGTGTGAGCCCTGCACAACCTGGAGCTGAAAGACTGGTATGAGCCCTGCACCAGGACTTTCAAACTGTGTTCTTGGGCAAGTCCCTTATCCTTTCTCAGCCCCAATTAATGCTGGAAAATGAGAGCTCTAATATTCCAAATGGGAAAAACAATCTTATTTTCCTAGTCTTCTCAGGCTGCTGTAACAAAAGGCCACAGACTGAGCACCTTAAACAATGGAAATTTATTTTCTCAGACTTCTAGAGGCTAGGAGAACTTTTCGAGGTGCCAGCATTGCTGGTTTCCCATGTGAGCTTGCTTCCTGGCTTGCAGATGAAGCTGTTTCCCAAAGTTCTCACCTGACAGAGAACAAGCGCTCTAGTATTTCTTCTTATTAGGACACTAATCCTATCATAAGGGTCCCACTCTCATGACATTATCTAAGTCTGATTATCTCTTAAAAGTCTCCCCTCCAAATACCATCATCAGATCAAGGGACCCACCTCTTCTGGAGCACTGGGTCAGAAGTTAAACACTGTTAAGCTTCCTTAAGTATTACAAATACTGTTAAATGCTATTACAATTGCTAGTTCTGAGCTTTTGTTGTCTTTATTGAAAACACCTTTTTGTTAATGCTTTCTGAGAATCAACAAAATTGAAAAGTAGGCCATTTGGCAGTTCCTTCCTGTATGCCTGGCTGCCTTGAGTGGAGAACTTTCCACAAGCGGCCCCTTTGGCTGTTGGCTGGGCTGCCTTCAGGACAGTTCACAGCCTGCTGCTGTGAAGTTACACTGCATCCCTAGCTGCTTGATGCAGAAGCACAATTCTGGTTTCAGAACGTACTGTTCCAGCCACAACTGTTTCAGCCAGCTTGCGTTGGTCTTTTTACCACTACAAGTTTGAAGTTAGATGAATTCTAGTAGCCATTTTCACGAGGCCAAAGGGGAAGTACTTCTCCTGGTGGTCCAGAAGATAGGCTGTAATTGGTTAAAAAAAAAAAAAGAAAGAAAGAAAGAGAAACCATAATCCTTCACTTGCATGAAGTCTGTGCTGTGACTGGTGCAAACGCTTTTAGCACACACCCTATCCTGGCGATATAACCAGGCTACTTTGCTCACTTTTTTGAGTCAGCCGGGAGATACTTTCCTGTGCTGCCCCCTGGTGTTTCATCAGGGAGCCCAATAAAAGGCTTCTCCTGAGTGGTCTTTGGCTGCTTTTGATTTTTATCCTAAGTGGAGAGGGTTGGACTAGTAACATGAAGGGGAGACAGCAAAGCAGCAGCAACAGCAATGGCAGCTGCATCAAGACGGTGGCTGAAGAGTTCCACAGATTGGCCAGGGGCAAAGACAATGAGAAGCAGTGACAGCAGAGACAACAAAGGGACGAAGGACTATAGAAATCCAGAGAAGACTGTGAAGAGCCAAAGATGAGGGACTGAGGGCCACAGAAGCTAAAAGAGTTCCAAGGAGCTTCCAAGCCCTAAGGGCCAAGAGTTCTGACACTCAAGGCTCAAGAGCTGTACTACCTGCTGGCGCTGCTGCTGCCACGTGTTAAGTTACACCAGCTGCCTAGTGCTGGGCCACTGGCAAAGCCCAGAGCAATAACCCTCCAACCAGAGCACCTAGACTGTCCTCTAGTTCCTGGAGCCAGAAGCTTCTTAGGATTTGGATCTATGAGCCTCTAAATCTATCAGCCCAGCCCTATAATATAAGCTTTTGGCGCTCAAGAGCCTCCGTCTGCCAACACTAGCAGAGCTACTCCTCACACATTTGCAATTTCTGAGTAGGGCAAAGGGACCCAAGGCAGCTGATTGGTAACAAACACACCAGGGATTAGAGCATCAACATATAAATTTAGACCAACTTAGTCCATAGCACCTACTTATCTGCAGTTTTTAATGATGCTAAATAATAAAATACTAGATAAATTACTACTCGACTCAACTATTATCTAACAATCTTTATGAAGAACACTTTTAGCAAATCTCTCTATTCCTGGAGCCTATTGGTTTTTCCTTTAAGAGTTGTTGTAATACTCCACAAAATATCTATCTTTTGTGATCTCATTATCTAGCAGTTAGGGAAGAATCCAATGGGAATTCAAAACTTGACTCTCAATGTGGAAATTCGAAGAGGGAGAGAAGTAGGAAGCAATACGATTTAGTAGACGATGCCTCTCTTGGAAATAAAAAGATTTATCAATGCGATTATTTTGATTTTTAGGTTCTTGAAGAGGCCTATCAGCAATATCGGTGTGTTGATTCTTATTACCACACCCAAGACAACTCCTTACTCTTGGTTTTCCATAACCCGATGAATACACAACGTCTGCACTGTGAACATTGGAATATTGCTCTTCACTCCAATGTTGGATTCAGGTAACCAAGTTAGATTGTTTAGCTAATTAGATAGTTGAGCTGAGTTCCTTTTTAGTTACTTAGGTTTTAGTTCCTTAGCCTTAACTAGGTGGTTCAACTCAATAAAAACCTTTTATGTAACCCCAGAGATACAGCTCAGTTCACTAAGGTGAGTATCTCCCACACACCAAGCACTGTGCCAAGTGTTGAAATACCACTGGAAAAGAAAATCATCATTCTTGCCCTCATGGAGTCTAGTGGGGCTGTTACCAAATTACATTGTTTTCATTTAGACTCCAATAACACTGCTTCTGAAAAATTTCAGGTTGTGACTACACAACATAACATTCTGCCTACTGATTGGGGTAACTCCACTTCATCTGGGAACATTCAAAAGCAGCAAAACTGGGTATCATATTGTTTCATGGGTATGTCTATTTTATATAGCAGCTTAAATTTTTTAATCGCTATGAGAACCCATCTTTTAAAAGGTTTTAATTATAAAAACAAGTTTTAAAGATTTTCAGTTTTAAAGAATTTAATCATTTTGCTTTTATTTTTATTGATGTGTTGAGTTTCATTCTTATATTTTAATTTTATAAATATCTTTCTATTTTAGTATGAATCTTTTTCTTTTCTTTTGTTATTTTTCATTTTCTTAGTACATTCTTAGTGCATGCAAAGATTGTACATTCTATTTATATTCTTCTAGGAATTATACATACCCTTTAAAATCAAATATTTAAAGATTTTTATATCATATCTAGAGTTAATGGCTAGTAATACCACTTGCAAAGATGTTAAAAATTTTAAGATGTGATGTTTTCATCCCCAACAAATGTCTTACTTTCCATTTTAAAATTATTTAGAAATTTTGTTTCCAACTATGCAGTAGTTGGTTTTTAATCACAAATAAGCATAGTTATTTACATTTAATTGCAAGTTGACTTCTTTATTTTTGACCCTTCTACTTTCATCCAATATTGTCTTCTTTCTCTTATTTTTTTAATGCAGCTGGAATATATTTCTGAGTAATTCATTTAGAAAATATCTGTGGGTAATAAACTTCCTAAAGCATTGCATGTGTGTTCTTCATTTTGCCCTCTCATTTGATACTAATTTGGCTGTGTTTGAGTCTGTGTTCCTTCATTTAGGTCACTTGTAGCATTCTAGTTTTTTTTATTATAAAATTTTTATTAGGATATATTCATTATACAGGGGGTTCATAATGACAATTCTGATTTGACTTATATTGTACATTATTTGCATTTCCCCCATCGTCTCTACCCCTCAACCCCCTCTAAACCCCACTTAAAGCAATTACAAGAGGTTTTTTAGTTCTGTTTCAGGTAGGCATATGAAGTTCGTTGACCATATACTGTCACTTCAATCTCCTTTCTTCACCCTCCTCCTCCAACTAGTACCTCCCCACACACACCTTGCCTATTTTACAATCCTGATTTTCATTATTAATATTTAAGTTGATGTTCACAGGGGTGTCTCAATGTATGCCCGCTGTGGGTGTGCTTTACTTTGGTTCATTTAATCCCTTTGAATACTCTCCCTTACCCCTTTGCCTACCACCCCCAGTTTATCAACAGTTTTCAATACGCATCCTTACATCCTCTACCTTCACATCGCACGGTATACACTATCACTAATGCTCTATCAGTCTCTTTTCCTTTCCCTCTTTTCCCAAGTTCCATGGAGTAGTTCCACTGTTACAAATATGTTCTACATCTGAGTTTATATATGATCATGCTTGTTTTTGTGTTTATCTTAGGATCTGTCTTCCATGTATTAGACATTTTGTGTTCTGATCCTGGCTAACTTCACTTAACAAGGTGTCCTCCAATTGCATCCATTTACCTTCAAACCCCATGTCACTATTCCTTGTGACTGAGTAATACTCCATTGTGTATATGTACTACAATTTCATGATCCAGTCATCACTTGTAGGGCATCTGGGTTGTTTCCAGAGCTTGGCTATTGTGAATAGTGCTGTGATGAACATGGGTGCACAGGTGTCTTTACTGTACTCTGTGTTAAGTTCTTTTGGGTAGATGCCAAAGAGAAGAATCACTGGATCACATGGCAGTTCTATCTCCAGTTTTTGAGGAATCTCCATACTGCTTTCTATCATGGTTCTACTAATTTGCATTCCCACCAGCAGTGTATAATGGATCCTGTTTCACCACATCCTCGCCAGCATTTGTTCTTATTGCCCTTGATTATGGCCATTCTAACTGGGGTGAGATGAAGTCTAAGTGTTGTGATTTGCATCTCTTTTACAACCTGGGAAGCTGAACACTTCTTCATGTATTTACTGGCCATTTGTACCTCTTCCTTTGAGAATTCCCTGATTAATTCATGTGCCCATTTCTTCACTGGGGTGTTGATTCTTTGGGGGCTGAGTTTTTTGAGTTCCCTATAGATTCTGGATATTAGTCTCTTATCAAGTGAGTAGCTGGCAATGATTTTCTCCCATACTGTGGGCTGTCTCTTGAGTCTGGTGACAGTTTCCTTTGCTGTGCAGAAGCTCTTTAGTTTGATGCAGTTCCATTTGTTTGTTGTTTCTCTTAGATGCTGAGTCTTTTGAATTCTGTTTAGGAAGTCATTCCCTATACCTAGCTGTTCCAGTGTACGTCCTACTGCTTCTTGGAGTTGTTTCAAAGTTTCAGGCCTTATATTAAGGTCTTTGATCCACTTTGAGTTGATTTTGGTACAGGGTGAAAGACAGGGATCTAATTTCAGTCTTCTATATATGTATATCCAATTTTCCCAGCAGTATTTGTTGAAGAGGCTGTCTTTTCTCCATCATGTGTTTTGGGCTCCTTTGTCAAAAATCAGTTGGCTATAGATGCTTGGGTTTATGTCTGGATGATCTATTCTGATCCATTGGTCTTCCTGTCTGTTTTTGTGCCAATAACATGCTGATTTTATTGTTATGGCTCTGTAGTATAATTTGATGCCTCAAGTGTTGGACTTTTTGCTCCAAATTGCTTTGTCTATTCGAGGTCTTTTGTGTTTCCATATGTATTTCATGAATGATTTTTCTATTTCTGTGCAGAATGTCATTGGAAGTTTGATAGGGATTTCATTAAACATGTAGATTGTTTTTGGTAGTATGGCCATTTTCACAATGTTGAGTCTACCAATCCACGAGCCTGGAAGGTCTTTTCATCTTCTGATGTCTTCTTCAATTTCTCTTTTCATTGGTTTATCATTTTCATTACAAAGGTCTTTAATTACTTTCAAGTTATTCCAAGGTACTTGATTATTTCTGAGGCTATTGTAAATGGGATTGTTTCCCTGATTTCTTTCTTACTCTGCACATTGTCGGTATATAGAAAAGCTACTGCTTTCTGTATGTTAATTTTGTATCCTGCTACTTTGCTGAAGGAGTTTATGATTTCTGGTAGTTTTTTTGATAGAGTTTTTAGGGTCTCTTAGGTATAGGATCACATCATCTGCAAAAAGGGATAGTTTGACTTCTTCCTTCCCTATTTAAATCCCTTTTATTTTTTGCTCTTGTCTTATTGCTCTGGCTAGGAATTCCAAAACTATACTGAATAGAAGTGGAGAAAGTGGACAGCCCTGTCTCATTCCTGACTTTAAGGGGAACGGTTTCAGTTATTCTCCATTTAGTATGATGTTGGCTCTAGGTTTGTCATATATAGCCTTTATTGTGTTGAGGAACATTCTTTCTAATCCTAGTTTCTTCAGAGCTTTTATCATGAAAGGGTGTTGGATTTTGTCAACAGCTTTTTCTGTGTCTATTGAGAGGATCATGTGATTTTTGTCCTTGCTTCTGTTTATATGCTGTATTATGTTTATGGATTTACATATATTGAACCATCCTTGCGTCCCTGGAATGAAACCAACTTGGTCATGGTATGATCTTTTTGACGTGTTGTTGAATTCTGTTTGCCAGTATTTTGTTGAGAATCTTTGCATTTATATTTGTTATAGATATTGGTCTATAATTCTCTTTTCTTATTAATGCTGGCTTCGTAGAATGAGTTTGGTAGTGTTCCTTCCCTTTCTATTTCCTGGAAAAGTTTGAGGAGTATTGTGTTAATTTTTACTTAAAGGTTTGGTGAAGTTCAGCCATGAATCCATCAGGTCCTGGGCTCTTCTTTGTAGGGATACTCTACTACTGTTTCATGTATTAGGACTATTTACATGGTTAATATCTTCTTGGTTCAATTTTGATTGGTTATATGAATCTAGGAATTTATCCACTTCATCTAGATTTTCCAGTTTACTTGTGTGTAAATTTTCAAACTACTCTATAATGATTCTCCGGACTTTTTGGTAGTTGTGGTTATGTCCCCTTTTTGTTCTCTGAATTTATTAATTTGGGTCTTCTCCCTCCTCTGTTTTTTCATATTGGCTAAAGGTTTGTTAGTCTTGTTAATCTTTTCAAAGAACCAACTTTGTGTTTTATTGATTCTTTGTATAGTTTGTTTGGCTTTGATCTCATTGATCTTGGCCCTGATCTTTATTATCTCTCTCCATCTGCTGGTTTGTGTTTCGTTTGTTCTTGTTTTTCTAGAAGCTTAAGGTACATCATTAGATTGTTTATTTGAGAGGTCTGTGCTTTTTTAATGTAGGCACTTATAGCTATAAACTCTCCTCATAGCATGACCTTTGCTGTGTCCCACAGATTCTGGTAGGTTGTATTTTAGTTTTCACTGGATCCTAGAAAGTTTTTGATATCTTCCCTTATTTCTTCAGTTACCCATTAGCTGAACTCTTGTTCAGTCTCCATGTGAATGAATTCAAAAATATTGAATATTTTCTGGGGTCTCTTTTGTTGTTGAGGTCTATTTTTATTCTGTTGTGATCTGATAAGATGCAGGGGGTTATTTTGATTATCTTGAATTTGTTGAGACTTGCTTTGTGTCCTAAAATATGATCTGTTTTGGAGAAAGTTCCATGAGCTGCAGAAAAGAATATGTATTGCCTAGTTGTTGGGTGGAATACTCTATAGATATCAACCATATCTATTTGGTCTAATGTGTGGAGCAACTCTGAAGTTTCTTTGTTGCTCTTTGGTCTGGATGACCCATCGGTGACTGTGGGATATTCAGGTCTCCTACTATCACTGTGTTAGCATCTATCTGTACTCCTGGGGACATAAGAGGTTTTGTTTTAAATGTAGGTGGGTGCCCCTGTGTTTGTTGCATATATGTTAAGGATTGATATTTCCTCTTGATGAATTTTTCCTTTCATTAACACGAAGTGACCTTTGTTGTCTCTTCTGATTAATTTTAGTCTGAAGTCAACTTTGTCAGATATAACTATAGCTACTCCTGCCTGTTTATGGAGTCCAGTTGCTTGGAAAACTTTTTCCCACCCTTTGATTCTAAGCCAATATTTGTTTTTTTCAGTGAGATGAGTCTCTTATAAGAAACATGGTTGGGTCTTGTTTTTTAATCCAATTTGCTATTTTGGCTCTTTTTATTGGGACATTGAGGCCATTCACAGTCAGTGTTAATATTGAGAGGTGCCTGTTGTTTCCAGTAATCTTTGTTCCCTTGTTGTTTAGTTTTACCTATTCCTTGTTTACTGGTATGCTTGCTCAAAAGGGTTTATTCTTTCTTGAGTTTTCCTGTCTCATTCTAGTTTCTTCTTCTATATGTAAAAGTCCTTTAAGTATCTTCTGAAGATTCCTTTAGTTTTTCCTTGCTGTGGAAGGTTTTAGTTTCTCCTTCAATTAAGAAAGATAGTTTTGCTGGATAGACTAGTCTAGGTTGACATTTTCTTTCTTTCAGGGCCTGAAATTTTGTCTGTCCATTACCTTCTTGTGTTTAGAGTCTGAGTAAAGAAATCTGCTGTTACTCTAATGGGTTTGCCTTTTTATGTGACTTGTCTTTTCTCTTTTTCAGCTTTCAGAATTCTTTCTTTGTTCTGTGTGCTGAGTGTTTTGATTATAATGTGTCTGGGGGTGTTTATTTTTTGGTTCTGACAGTTTTATGTTCTATAAGGTTTCTACACCTATGTGATTCTCTCTTTCTTGATGTTAAAGAAGTTTTCTGCTATTATTCTATTGAATAAGATGTCAATGCCTTTAGTTTGTATCTCCTGTCAGTGCTCTCTAAACCCATCATGCAAAGGTTTGATCTTTTCATAGTGCTCCAGATATCTTGCATGTTCCATTCATATTTTCTTAGTATTCTTTCATGACCTTTTACTATTTGGTCTAATTCCTCTACTTTGTCTTCCATTCCTGATACTCTGTTTTCAACTTGCTCTTCTCTGTTCACCAAGCTTTCAATTGCAATATTTATTTGGGATATTGAATTGCTTATTTTAGATTGATTATTTTTCAAGGTTTCCATATCTTTATTGATTCCTCTTTCATATCCTGGATAGTCTTCTTAATTTCATTCATCTGTTTGTATGAGCTCTTTGAGCTCATTTAATTGTTTATTCATGTTCTCTTTGAGGTCAAATACTAACTTTTGTGTTTCTTCTTTGAGGTCATTAATCATTTTTACTATTATTTTTTGGAATATATTATTTGATAGCTCTTCCTCTATGAAGGTGTTTGGATCCTAAGTGGTAGAATTGGCTTTTGATGGAAAGTGGTTGTCTTGCTGTTTCATTTTGCATTGAGATTTACACATCTGGAGTTGTTTTGGGTTAAGGTTTTAATCTCTTATTCTGCTGTAGTTGGGGTTTTGAGTTTTTTTCTACTGGAGCTCCAGCAGTGTTTGTCAGAGAGGGGTAGGCTGGATATGTTACCTTTTGCAGGGTTCTTGCTGTGGTGCCAATTACCTCTTTTCTTCCCTTAATGAGGGAGCTAGTGTTCCTGCTCTTTGATGGGGGCTCAGGGTCTCCACTGCAGTTGCAGTGGAGAGCCTTGGGTCTCTGTGCGCTGTGGGGGGCAGGCCTCCAAGCACCAGTGGAGTAGCAGATCTCCACTCAGTGGAGGAGCTAGGATTCCAGCTCTTGGGAAGGAGAGACCTGACTCTCCTGCAGGGAGGTGCAGCATGAAGCACTGGGCTTCCTGTACCTTGAGGGGACAGGGCTTCTGATGCCGCCTGCAGAGTAGCAGGTTATGGCTTTCCTCCCCTCAGTGGGGAATCTGGCATTCTTGCTCTCTGATGGGGAGCGAGAGCTCTCTTGCTGTCAGGGACAGTGGGGAGGCTGGGTCTCCATGCTGTATGGGAAGGGAAGCCTCCTTGCACCAGCAGAATAGCAAAGCCTGGAACCTGGGGATCACTTAGGTGTGTGGTGGCAGGCTCCTGGTACTGAGTAGCAAGTTGAGGGTACCCATGGAGCAGCAAAGCTGGTGACTTTGAATCATCTGATGCCCACAAGGCAGCAGAGGCCCTGGGGTCTACTTGCACTGGGGCATGAGCTTCCAGGAGCCATGGCAGTTGCTGCAGGCATGGGGGACCCAAGTCCCCTGAGGCTTGCTTGTGGCATTGGACTACCCAGAGCCACAGCAACTGCCACAGGCATGGGGAACCAAGCCATTGGGTAGCAAGAGCCCTGGGGCTGATTTCCCACATGGGCTTCAAGGAACACAGTTCAGTGGCACTTCTACAAGGGGAACCAAGCCTGCTGGCTTGGGCCTTCTGTTACCCAGGGAGCAGTGGGAGCCATGCATCCTGTTTACACACAGGTACCAGTTTTCCTGGCATTTCAGGGTGAAGGTAGCAGTCGTGTAGTAGGAGGGAGCATGAGCTCCAAGTTCCTGTGTGTGCTGGGAAGCAGGACTTACCACCAAGCACCCTGAGAAATGAAGCCTAGAGCTGCATGGCAACTTCAAGGGCAGGGGATTGGGAATGTTGAGCTGCAAGTTGCTCTTCCCATTCTTCCTGTGGTTAGTTTTTACTCTGTTTGTGGATTTGGAAAGGGCTTTACATCTCACTGATTATGGGACCCTGTGGGTGCCTTTTGGGGTCCTCTGATCGTTGTTTTTAAGGGTAGTCGCTGCTGGGCCATAGGGATGTCAACAATCCACCATCTTACCCTCTCCCCCTTCTAGTTTTCACATGAAATATTCATTGAAAGATTCTGAGCAGAAGAAAGATCTGATTGGAGAATTTAAAGGGGCATTCTAGCTGGGTGTGGTGGCTCACACTTGTAATCCTAGCTACTCGGAAGCAAAGATGGAGAGGATAGTGTCTTGAGGCCAGCTCAAATAAAACGTTTTTAAGACCCCCCCCCCATCTCAACCAAAAAACGCTAGGTGTAGTGGTCAAAGGCATAAATAGGAGGAACTCTGTCCAGGCCAGCCCCAGCAAAAACAGTACATCCTATTGGAATAGTAACTAAAAAAAAAGGGCTGTGGGCATGGCTAAAGTGGAAGAGTGCCTACCTAGCAAGCATAAGGGCCCAAGTTCAAACCCCAGCACTGCCGAAACAAGCAAACAAAAATGCTATTTGCTGACTTGGGACTAAACTTCAGGAGTCCAAGGGTAGGAGTGGCCAGCTACAGTCTGTTACAACAGTCCTAAAAAGATGTGACTATGGGCCAGAAAATGGAAGAAAGAGAAGTGAAATGTGATCAGATTTTGAATATATTATAAAAATACATATATTAAAAATTATTCTTAAATAATTTTTAAAAATCATTCTAGTTCATAATAGATTGGAAGAGGAGTATAAGAAAATAAGAATGGTTGAGGATAACTTCAGGGTGGTTGCCCTGCTCAACCAGAGGTGTACACTTGCCACCAGCTAAAATGCCAATGACAGTTTATGACAGCAAGTTGGAGTAGAAAATCATGAGTTTATTTTGGGACATGTTAAGTTTGAGATATCTGTTAACTTTCAAACAAATATGTTGGTTATTTATAGCTCATAGCCTATAATTTTCAGTTTATTTCTTTTGAAAAGATCAACAATGAAGGAAAATTGTGAAGCAATCTGAATATAATCCAGCTTTATATTTTAAAACTTTAGACCTTGGACTAGAAGTGTGGCTCAAGCAGTAGAGTGTCTGCTTTGTAAGCTCGAAGTCCTGAGATCAAACTCCAGTCCCACCATAAAACAAAAACAAAGCTTCCTGGACACAGGTGGCTCATGCTTATAATTCTAGCTACTTAGAAGGCTGAGATCAGGAGGCTTGAAGTTCTTAGTCAGCCTGGACAAATAGTGACACCCTATCTTCAAAATAACCGGTTCAAAACAGACTGGAACTATGGCTCAAGCAGTAGAGCACCTGCTTTGCAAAATGAAGCCCTGAGTTCAAACTCTAGTCCCATCAAAAACAAACTTTAGACCTCACCATCACATAATTTTACAATAGCTAATACTTACATTAGAGGCTAAATTTTTCAACTTATTTTAGGGATAAAAAACTTTCTATGAACATTCATGTATTGTAAGTGCATTAAAATTTAATTTAAAATAATTACACTAATCCATACAAATACTATGAATGAATTTCAGAGCAAAAATGACTGACTCTTGGTAAGCAGTAGCTTTCTGGTGGGATCATGGTCATATGAGCAACTTAGGGAATAGGACTTACGCTGTGCATGCTAACAAGGCTTGTCAGTTTTATAGCAGGACTGAAGTGTTTTAGTTAACCCAACGAGTCGATTACCTGGTGATCAATTAAAAGTTTCTAATGTGCCATAAAAAGCCTTAAAAGAGATTATACCACATTGCTCTTTAATGAACAGTGTTGAGAATGACTGTTTCTCCAAACTATCATCCACTCTTTGTGTTGACAAACTGTTTAATCCTTCACCTTCACTTGTTTCAAGCCCTCATTTTTAGATTTACATGTCTTTACCTGTAAATGAAGTTGGGCATTTTTTTTTTGTGTGCTCATGGGATATTTGTATCTGACTACTTGTAGAAAATAGTGCGAAAATATATCAAAATCTGTAATATTTATTTAGAATCAGTTCATTTTTAAAAGTTTGTTTATACAGTCAGTGTCTTAAATGCTTGTTGATTTTATTCATTTGCCATCTTCTTTTTGCCTTGTCTAGGAATTTTTTGGAACTTGTTGCAAAATCTATTGAAGATTGGATCACAGAAGAAGAAGCTAAATACCAGGAAGCTAAAATGGCTGAAGAAGTCAGTAAGAGCAAGACAGAACTGGACTTCAAATCTTCCTCTGGTACCAAAATTTCTTCAAGCAAAGTTTTTGCAGTCAAAAAATCTAAAAGTAAGTAATCAGTTCACTTTATACCTAAAAAATTTCCAAAGACATTGTCCTGTCTAGTAATTTAATATTTCAAGATTGAAAGGAGTTGTCCACAAAATTACTATGGCTTTCATTTTCTCTAATAAATGGAATAGCAGCTGTATTCCAAATATGATGAGATTTACCTGAGTGGGATAATGGAATATTTATTACACATTGATCCCCCCACTTCCTGTCAAATCTATTTTGCAGATTCAATATGAGTTATTAAGGAAATGCAGATGTTTTTATTGGTTGAATTGGTGGGCGAAGCTATCTAAAATATGTTGACAATGTAGGAGGGAAATTCAGAGTTAGTGGGTTTCCATGAGAATAATTATAGATTCCAACAGTGAGTTTAAATCAAGGCCCTCCTTAGAATAACAAACATAGGAATCCCAAGGCTACCTGGGAGTGGGAATCTAGAGATAAAGGGAAAGGTGATTCTTAGAGGCATAAGGAAGGAATTTGACAGGCTCTTGACTCTTTGGGTTTATATATATATATATATATATATATATATATATATATACATAAAATTTTATAATATATAAATGTGAATATATTTTTATAATATATGATATAATATATATGCAATATATAATAATATATTATACATATTATGTATATTTGTATATCATCATATTTGGAATACATTATAATACATAGTATATAATATTATATTAAAATACAATGTAATAAATAATATAATATACTAAAATATTGTATAACAATGTATATATTATACTATTTATTATATAATATTTATTACATTATTATATAATACATACTTATACATTATATATAGTTATTCACTATATAAATATAAATAATATTTATATTAAATATTGTTTATAATATTTCCATGGCTTTGAGCCTGTAGGACAAAGAGAGAAGAAAATGACAGAGAGTAAAGTAGATTTTTAAAAGGATACTTGATAAATAGAAGAATTTAAACAACAAGACAGTTCATTTATAAAATAAAAATATTTCATTGAATTTATGCAAAAGAAATAGACTGTTAATAATATTCATTATTTATGGTACATGAAATTAAATGATTTTTCATAGAGAACCAAAGCTATGCAGTTCCAAGATTTTTGCAACCTCTTCAGTTATCAGAGGAGTTTGTACATGGCTTGACTTTAAAGTAAAACTTGAGCCAAATTGATGATGAATCATTTACCATACCCACCAAAATGGCTGTATAATCCCAGCTCAGCTTCTTCCTAACAGGGGCCCGCATCCCTGAAAAGATGGATGGGACTATATAAGAAATAAATGTGAGGCTGCCTTCTCACTCTTAATTCTGAAGCCATACTTGCCCATTAGCAGGAAGAAATGATAAGATGATTGTTTTTCTTTATAATGCTACTGAGCAACCCAAAAGCTCACTCTCTAAGTACCTCTGGAAATCTAGAAAATGGCCAAGTTAGGATTGGAACACACATGGTAGTAAGTATGGCATTCAGTTAAAGTTCTCTCAAGTCAGAAAAGATATTAACCTTCAAAACCAAAAGACTACAATGACAACAGAAGGGCTTCAACATGGGAGGTAAGGTTAGTGTTCTGCATGGTCTCGAGGTATAAAACTAAGCTTAACAAGGTACAAGTTTTAGAGAAAGAGATTCAGTTCAATAAAAGTACATCACAGCATACTGAGAACAGAATGCACTGTCCAGAGACTCAGAACCCCATCACCACAGAGGTTCCAAACCACTTCAGATGTCTATCAGATGTCTATGCAGGTGACAAGAAAGAGTTTAGAGATGAACAAATGGGGAGTTGAACTAGATACTGCTCAAGATCTCCTCTAACCCCAGACATTTAGTTCTTCCATGATACCTTATTTAAGAGAGTTGCTAAGAGTTTAATTTTCTCTGCTTATAGGTAACAAATTAGTCAGCAAATCAGATATACCAGAACAAGAAAAAGAGAAAGAGAAGGAAAAGATTCCTTTCATTTTAGAAGGCTCGCTCAAGGTAATCTAAGGGAAGACAAAAATTATCTTGTGATGGAGATTTTGTACTGGTAGAAGAAAATGATCTTTTTTGAAATGGCAATGAAAGGATTGTCTCTCCTCCACACAGACTCCTCCACCTGATGTTAAGTCTTTGAGAGAATCTGTGTCTTATTTGTTTTTACATAACCCCAGTCAAGGGTGGTGACTTGTTCACTGGTAAACTATTTTTGTTGCAGATGTTTGGTTTTGTTTATATATTTTTAATTTGAATTTTTCACCAAAAAGTAATATATGCTTTTGCAATAATTCCAAATTATCCACCTGAACTATATCATAAGCCCCTAATATAAGAAATATTAAAGTTTTGGTATATTCTATACTCATACAAGCACATACTCAATAATATACAGAGAGGTTTTTGTTATTGTTTATTTGCTTATGGTTTAGGTTAGGTTTGGGGCTTCTGTCACTATGGGTTAGGGTATGTCACCCTGTTGGAATGTGGATATATTCACCAAATCAGAATTTAGGGGAGTTCGGGGAAGTTTCACCATGTAGATGTGATCAGTTATTACCTCAGTCTCCAGCTCCTCTCTCTTCCGTGAAGGGTGGAAGGGGACAATGTGCCAAGAGGTCCAAGCTTCTAACCTGGATTTGATCTTTTGGGGGACCAGCTTCCACCCCATCCTGAAGCTGCCTAAAGTTTGCCAAGAGTTGCCTCACTAGAACAAAGACACTCCTATCACTCATGACATTCCATTGGATTTAAGAGTTCTATGCCAGAATCCAAGAATGAAGACCAAATATCTGTTTCTTATTATATCATAATATCATAGTTTCTATTAAATGCAGTTGTTAGTTCTGTGAAAAATGGCTTTATATTGCCCCTGTTCATTAAGCATAGTTTTCATTTGCAAAACTCTTTATTTCCTCATAGCACTCTCAAGATTCTGTTCCATATCTTCCTTTCTGACCTGTGACTGTTAATAAATTGGTTATTAATCTAATTTGACATTCTTTTATAGACAGTTTATCTATTCTCTCTAACTGCTTAGAAAGCGTTCAGTGGTATGCTGTAAATGTTTAGCAGTCATTCTCTAGAGAAAAGTGTGCACGTATGTACATGCATATGTTTTATTATACATGTTACTGATAGTATGTTCAGTACGCATCTTACAAAGAATAGCAAAACATACAATACTGTTATTGTAAATTCCATGTAGTCAATTGATTCTCACAGTATGCTTTCATTGATTTTTTTTCTTAAATTCTTGTGTCCCACACAAGTTATGGGTACAATTGACAAACAAGAATAATTCCAATATAAATGTAGATTAATATTTTCATTTATGTTAACAAGACAAACGTTAAACAACAAAAACAGCACATCTCACTCATTCCTCAATGACAAGAGCAACTTGGATAAATCAAGTAATAGATATTGAATGCTGGAAGATATTTTCTCAGGGGGTGTGGATCGAGTGGTAAAAGTACACCTAACAAGCAGGAGGCCCCAAATTCAAAGAGCAGTACTGACGAAAACAAGTGTGCTTAAGAATATTTTCTCAGTTTTAGTGCTAGTTACCATGTAACAGCTACAGACACCACACATTGAGGTTTTTAATCTGCATTATCAGCATTCTAGACATCATTTCTGGAGTGTAGACAATTAGAATCCAGCAACCCTTACTTGTAGCAGTGACTGATATCTGTAGTGTAAATACTTCCACAGTAGCTGATTTCAGGCTGTCATGTGACACCACTGTCCTGTAGTGTTTACAAGACAGGCATACCATTTTTATAAATAACCTCAAGAGAATAGATAACAGTGGACTGTAGCAAAATATGTATGAGGTGGTGAGTTTTGAATATTTATTTTTTGTTTTAGTAGTGTATTTAATTGTGCATTTATAGAATTTGTCTTTGATTGTGGCTTTGGTTAACTGGCTCACAAAATTCCTAAAATTTAACAATGCACTCTTTAAGTCAATATGAGCCAGGTTCAGCACACCTCTATTATTTCTTGCTTTTGGTTCATTGACCTTCCTGAATGTTGGATTATGTCCTTCACCAACCCTGGAAATATCTCAACCAGTATCTATTCAAATACTCCTTCTCTACTTTACTCCCAAAAGGATCATCAAACTCACCTCATCATTTTTGGTACTCCCTTGTTTCTTCCTTACGCTTTTGATACTTCATTTTGTTTATTTAAACATACTATTTTATTTTATATTCTCATATTTCATAATTCCAATATCTTCAGTCTTTGCAGATACACTTTCACTATTTTTCTCCAGATTCTTGAACACAGTGGCTTATTGCCTCATGTTTTGTAATTTTCATTTGTGAGCTTATATCAACTCATAACTTTTTTTTTAAGCAGGGTCTCACTGTAAACCTCAACTGGCTTTGAACTTTCAATCCTCCTGCCCCAGCCTCCTGAGAGCTGGAGTTATAGGGATGAACCACCACACCTGAAAACTCATAACTTTTTTCAAATAAAAATGTTAGGTAATGTGCATTTTGGCCACAAATCGTTATGAGGACAAACTTGAGGATAGGCATTCCCAAAACAGACACCAATACCTGCTCTCCAGTCACCCAGCCTTGCTTAACCCCAAGGCCAAGAGAGCAAGCTAGAATTCTCATTGTCTTCTTCTATAGAGAAAATTTTTTTTGTAGCTCACCCGATCAAAATGAAAATTTTAAAGTTCCAATTTTTATTCAGGGGTCTCTGTTCAGCTCTCCCAGGTTTCATCTCTAGTCCCCACAATCCATTAAAACCTAGGTTCCAGGCTTTTAGGAATGGGAAACTCCTTAGCCTCACTTCCTTCACTGTATTAGTTCTTTCTCATATCCTTTGCTTTTCTGCCAGCAGTGTTATGTATTATAATGACTTTAAATTTTCTTTTATGGGCTGGTGGAGTAACTCAAGTGGTAGAGTATCTACTCAGCAAGTGTGAGGCCCTGAGTTCCAACCCTAGTACTGCCAAACAAAAACAAATATCCATTGTTTTTTAAATATTTTTCCCAGAACCTTTCTCTGAGCATGTAGTCTATCATATTGTTGAAAAAACATCTTTAGGACATAAGTTAAGGATTGGTGTCCCATGGAGAAGGACAGAAGACAGAGGCACTTAAGAGGCTGCTACAATAGACCAGGCTAAAGATGAAAACTAATAAAGGAAACAACAACAGAAAGTGGGAGAAGAAGCTGAAGTGAAGACAGATCTCTGAGGAGAATAAGCAGAATTTAGTGTTGGGTGAGAGGGAAACCAAGATTATTAGCTCAGCATTTCGATCGTGTGAATTTTTTTCCAAAATGAACCTTAATGAGACCCAAGTTTAATTTGTTTCAAAACCCCTGTTTAATTTTTTCAATGTATTTACAGGCATGGAAAGAAGAACAAGATCGATTAGCAGAAGAGGAACGCTTAAAGGAAGAAAAGAAAGCAGAAAAGAAGAGCAAAGAAACTGGTAAAAAGAAAGGCAAGGATAAAGCAGAGAAAGAAGATAGTAAGTCTTTGAAGAAAAAAACTTCTTCCAAGGAGAAAGATAAAGAAGAACAAATAAAGATCCCAGAAGTGACAGAGGAGCAAGTCCCACAGGCAGAGCCTGAGTTTCTCTATCCGGTAAAATCAGTTCTCTAAGAAGTCTCTTGGGGCTGTTTCTTTTTTGGTGTTTTTTGGAAGCACTGGGGTTTGAACTTGGGGGCCTCACACTTGCTAGGTATGCACTCTCACTGCTTGAGTCACTCTGCCAGCCCTCTTGGAACTGATTCTAACTGATTGGAAAGGAGATAAACCATCCATGAGCTAAACCTGTATTCCATCTTTTTTTTTTTTTTTTTAATCTAGAACCTTCTTCGCAGCCAATTACCAAGATAGGAGCAGCTTCAGGCCAGTTTGTTGCTAGGTGACTTAAGGGCCTTACATAAAGATGGAAATTTGACAGGAAAGCATCCATTTAGGTTCATGTAAATAAGCAACTATGAGAGATCAGCAGGAAGGCTGGCTTTGTCTCAGAATTTGCTGAGTACATTTCGTTGCTTCTCCTCTGGATGCCCATGTTTCTGGCTCATATGTTTTTGTGAAAACTTCTCTTCACTCATTTGTCTTCAGGTGGCTCTTCATGGAAAAACTTATCAAGAAAAAAAATGTAAAGAAATGTAATAGTGTCTGCCCTTTGTAGCTATTACTCTAAACCAGTTGTTCTCAAATTTTAACATACAGCAGAACTAGCTGGCACGCTAGTAGCAACAGTTAGTAGAAAATATACTTTCTAAATAATTTCCTAAAGTGTCAAGCATCTGGACATCACCAAAGATTCAGATCCAATGATGGGGGATGGGAGGGTAGCCTTGACATCTGCCATTCACAAAAGCCCTATGGTGGTTCTAATTAAAAAATAAAAAGGAGTCAAGTGTCAATATTATTTAACAAATCACTTCAATTTATTTATTTATTTGTTAGGATTTGAACTCGGGACCTTGCTCTTGTTAAACAGGTTGCTGTACCACTTGAGCCATATCCGCCACACCTTTTTGCTTTAATTATTTTTCAGATAGGGTCCTGTATTCTTGCCCAGGGCTTCTGACTGTGATCCTCTTACCTGTGCCTCCTGAGTAGATGGGCCACAGGGATGTACCACCATGCCGGCTTGTTTATTAAGACAGGGGTCTCACTAACTTTTTGCCCAGACTAGTCTTGAACTGTGATCCTCCTGATCACTGCCTCCCAAGTAGCTGGGATTGTAGGTATAATCCACCTCACCTGGCTTTAAATGACTTCACTTTTAACGGAAAATTAGCCACTGAATGAGCACTTGATATCTTCTCATACTACCTCAATTATAGACTTGACTTAGTGTGGGTTATGTACATGCTCCAGTGAACGGAGTTGAAAATCACAGACCACTTTGGGCTGTGGGAATAGCTCAAGTGGTAGCATGCCCGCCTAGCAAGTGCAAGGTCCTGAGTTCAAAAAATCACACAATTCTTTTAATTCTGCCTGTTATTATAACACCATAGAAGTTTCTGAAGATGCCAGCCATGGTGGTTCTTAGCTGTAATCCCAGGACTCAGGAGGTGGAGTCAGGAGTATCAAGTCCCAGGCCAGCCTAAGACACACAGTAGGACCATATCTCCAACAAAGATACAAATAAACAATAAAAAAGGTTTCTAAAGACAATATGGATTCTGATCTCTGAGCCTATAAAGCATCAGACATGTTGTTTAGCAGAAATTAGTTGGCTAACACCGATAAATTGATTTTTGTCTATTCCAGTTCTACACCCAAAGCATGATATTTTCTCTCCTAGTTTCGAGGATACAATATGGGAAATACACCCATCCAGATCTCAGGTGGAAATTCCTATTTGTATCCTTCTGATGGCGGGCAGATTGAAGTAGAAAAGACGACGTTTGAAAAAGGTATATTTTGAAAGCAGCTGGTTACGGTCTTGAAAGATATGAGTGTGTCACAGGTAATCGGGGAAGGTTAAAGTCCCTGGCATCCCAGTGCGCACCATGTTCCACATTTTCAGACTCCACATTCTTCTATTAGAATTGACTCTGCAGGGCATGGGCCAGCCCAGAGCTGGGTGTGGACACAGTGATATAGCCATTCCTCCTTGTATTAAAATACTTCCATGTGATTGGTAAATGGTATATCAGACACTGCAATAAGGAAACAGGTACCTAATAATATTGATGACAGCATACTGTTATCTCAGAAATGAAACACACACTGTGGATTGCCAATGCTTTTCTGGTTTGGGCTCTGGTGCACGGAGCTTAGGGCTCTGCTGCTGATATTGCAGCTCTTATTATGATTTGCGTGTGTATACAATGCATATAAACTCCAGATTGTTCATCCTCATCCTATCAACGTTGCAAGATATTTCAATCAAAGTTGAAAATAAAATGCTAAATGAAAGAGAGAGAGAGAGAGATAAAACAGAGAGGTAAAAAAATAATAAATCCAGGCATTATACATGAGCATGGGTTTGGGGAAAATTCTTGTAACTTATAATAATAACTATGACTAACACTAATACAGTTGTTATACACATAACTATATAATGTTATATTCTAGGCATTTACAAAAGTTCTTACAATATATCAATTATATCGTAGTTGAATTCACCCCCTCCACTATTCTTATTTATCCCCCACCTCTCCATTCCTGGAATAGTTTCAACAGGTCTCATTTTTCCATTTATATACGTATATACAGAGTATATGCACCATATTCACCCTCCTTTCCTCACCTCCTCACCCCTTCCACTAGTACCAACCCCCCAGATAAGACCTATTCTGCCCTCCTGGTCTCTGATTTTGTATAAGAAAAAAATGACATTTTTGCTTGCTTAAGATAGTTATACAGGGAATTTCCTTGTGACGTTTCCATGTATATATGTATTATAACCTGTATTGGTTCATCTCCTCTATTTTCTCCTTTCTACCTTTGTCCTCTTCCTATGGTGATTTCAACAGGTTTAAAATTTCTATATTCATTCTTGTTACATTCTATTTTTAATGTGAAAGCTTTTTCACATTAATGACCTCATTTGATAAGTAATAGAGTTGGTTATAGGTATGCATTGCCTCGGCCAATTTATTTTCTCTTCTGTAGTTTGGTTTGAGATGTGACTCCAAGTTCTGCAAATATCTCCTCCACCCATCCTCCTTTACACACCCTTTCATAGGAATGTTGGCGTCCCTCAGAAAATCAGCCCTCTTTCTCCCCCATGGTTCTTCCATAGGTTCAACTTTTATTAAAGTGAAAGTGAAAAAGGACAAGCACAATTTTATTATTCACTTGAAAGACCCAAAGCCAATTAGGAAAAAGCAAACAGAAGAAAAGGATTATTCTTTAGAAGAAGAGGAAGAAAAAGAAAACATTGAGGAACAAAATATTGAAAAAAGTAAGTAGCTGCTTCATTGTGGCAGTGCAGGTTAATTTGTAAGCAATGTGTCAACCCTTCCCTGACAGAAATACACAGTATCCCTCCCACTGAACAGATGCAGGTTTTATAGGTGGCCCCTGAGGTATTTGCCATTCTGCTGATATATATTTTTCATAATGCAGTGTGGATCTGCATTATATACATAGCCCTTCTGCACTGAACTCTTTACTTGCTCCTGCTGCCTCCAGGCAGCAAGCTCTTGATCCACTTGTCATACAGAGTCTCTCTAGTCCAGCTTCCTTTACACAGCAGCATTGAGTTTGTGATATCTATTCTGCCCTTAATTTTGGTCTGTGTACTTGTATCATATATCATTGTTAAGACTCGGGTCCTCGTTAATTAATTCTACTGAAGTTTACCCCAAGTAATGGGGTTTTCTTCCTATGCTCTATCATTTAATTCTCTCAGTAGCACAAAATCTCTTAGGTTTCAAGGACAAGGGAAAAATCAGCTTGCCTATGAAAATCATTACCTGCTTGGAGATCAGAGGTATAAATGGATGGCCAGTATTTAAATCATGAAACTTTCAGATAACTCCATTCAATACCTGTAGGCAACACATCTGGGGAAATCCATTGCTTCTTGTCCAAAGTGGCATGGGTTATACCTGAAAAAAGAGATGTATTACTAAAATGTTTAAGAAGTCTACTATAAATGGGATCAATTACAAAATTCTGCTGAGAAAATTAGTTACAGTGACAATTTTCAAACCCAAGAGAAGTATGAATATACTCTTACTTAACACAGAAAATTGAAAATTACTTTGCTTTAACTGATATAAAAATATACTGATTATCATAAAATAATTTTAAATACAGAAATATTTGAAGAAAATAACAGTTGCTTATAATTTTACCAACCCAGTGATAATCACGATTCATAGTGTATTTCTTGTATATCATCACAAGCATTTTCCTGTTCACTTAATATTCTTTGATAACAAGATTTTTTAATGACTTAATAATATCTCATTGATATATGCATATATCACAATTTCCTTAATCATTTCATGTTTTTATGTGGAAACAGGTATTTCTACCAAATTTAGGTTGTGATTTCACCAAAATTAATAAATAAATGTATGTATGCATACATACCTAATAATTTAATCATTCCCTTTTTGCGTGGTTAAACGGCATATAATTTTTTTTTTTTTTGCAGTACTGGGGTTTGAACTCAGAGCCTACACATTGAGCCGCTCCACAGCCCTTTTTGTGTTAGGTATTTTGGAGATAGGGTCTTACAAACTATTTGCCTGGGCTGGCTTTGAACCACGGTCCTCCTGATCTCTGCTTCCTGAGAAGCTAGGGTTACAGGTGTGAACATTCCATTCTAAGATTGTCTTTTATCATTTCAGCTTTAATTTTCTCCAGAGCCTGCAAACTTTGGCTTATATTTATCCCATGATCTGCTTTTGTATGACCCATAAACCAAGGATAGTTTTTGTATTTGTGAAGTTGTTACCCAAAAGAATATATGATAAATACTGTGTGTGACCTACAAAATCTAAAATACTTACTGTCTGGATATTGTAAGAAAAAGTTTGCTGTCTCTTTCACCTGCTGAGGCAACAATAGACAGATGAACAGACAGACAGGGAGAAAGATGGGGAGACAGAGTAGGTACCATTGCCTGCCATGCTTGCTTTCTCCCCTCCCATTTTACAGAGGTTTCTGTTCTGGTTTACTTATCATTTGCTTAGTTTTATTATGTTTTCACCTTAGATGGCACCCATTTTAGCGTGCTCTCTCAATGTTTACATCCCTATGAATATCTTGAGTGATAACTTGATTGATTACAGGGGCTGGGGCTGTCAAAGTGAACGTGTGGAATGGAGACTTCACTCGCAAATATTTTCGCCCAGTGTGAGCCTTATGTTTTCATTGTCGTGAAGTCCTTTTTTTACTCCATTGTTCATTTTATGTCCAAGTGTAGACATTACCTCTTCATGGGTTGTAATACTGTAAATCATTCTGTCCAGTGTCCATTGTATGATAACCCAAGAAATGGAAAGCTACAAATAAAACAACAGAAAAGAAAATTCACAAATTCTTCACACATGCCTTAAGAATATGTATTCTTAAAATTTTTTTCATTGAAGTTATGCTTGACTGAAACAATTTTAAAATGTGTTTTAAAATATAAGGAATTTTAAATGCAGGGATTTAAGAATGTGTTATAAAGTGTGAGGAAATTGAGACTGACCTAGTGGTTTTCAATTTAAAAGTCATATCAACAATCTACCAGATCAATAATCTGCATATGGCTCCGCCCTTCACCAGCTCATCTCCTTTCTTCATTTCAGGCTTGAGACAAAACCCCCTCTGACTTCCCCGAGTAACTGATAGGGGCTAATTCAATTATTTTTTAATTCCCAGACTTCCCACTGAGTTTCTCTTACATTTCTTCTTAATAAAATGGAAATGTCCTTGATTCGATTTTGTCTTTTAGAAATATCGAATATGGGAAATAAAGCTGTTAGCAAGTTTGGATCTTTTTCTGCCACTTTAGAAAATGGAATCTGCCTCTCAATAAGTTATTATGGATCAAGTGGATTGGCGCCAGGTAAAATGAACACAATAGAAAGATCACTGTGTCCCTCCCATGCCAGGGGTGCCTGCCCATCCTCAGTCTGCATGCGTGTCAATAAACCTGTTCAGATTTAATGCCTGTCATAGGTTTTCCTGCAAGGTGGAGATCAGAAATGTATGTGTGTTACATATATATGCTTGTGTGCACATATGTGCATACATGTACATATAGAAGCTTTCACATATAGCAAATAATGCTTGACTTCTTTTTTCTTTTTTTGGTACTACTGAGGTTTGAACTCAGAGCCTCATACTTGCTAGGCTGGCACTCTACCACTTGAGCCACTCCATTATCCCTTAACGTTTGACCTTTAAACACCACTTATCATTATATGATCTTTTAAATAGTCACATATACATGTAAGACCATATGTATACACACACACACACAATATTCCACTCATCATTGTTAACTAGCCCACGAAAATAATTCTGTTAGTTGGTGCCAAGAAAACATGACTTTACTAAGGAATCCACTTGATTTTCTACAGAACAACATTTTTATGAATTCTGTGATTGTGAAATTGCTCCGTGTGCTTTAGGACATTAGTCTTAAAGGAGCTATTCATTGGACAAGTTGAAGGATCTCTATGCCCTATTTCCAATGAACAAATTCTCCAACTAGAAACTATTTCCTTTCAAACCACAAAGTAGTATGTTACTGTACCAAGGACCAATTAAGAAATCTGTGGGTTTGCATGCATTTTAAAGGGAACTAACCACAACATATTTTTTAAAGCATTACAAAAATCAGTAAGTCATCTCTATGCCACATAACCTTAAAATTAAGTGGCAGTATGGATCATGGTAACCAAGTTATCTCCTTATTATGTAGTTCCTTTCCTGCAGAGACAACTCCCATGAGTCGCTATAATCTTGTTTCTTAACTTGATAGAATTTGAAATATTTCTAATACCATAACCAGGAGAGGTCTTTAAGCAGTTAGGCACACGATGTAGACCTGAGAAGGAAGGTCATGTCTTAAGATGTGAATTTTGGAGTCATTAGCATGTAGATGGCACCTGGAACCCTGGTAGTAAAGAAAACCATCCAGATCTAATATATATAGATATATGCACATATATACATATACACGCATATACACACACACACATACACACACATACATAGGTGCTCAGTACTGGCTCTGTGTCACAGTCACGTGTAGCGTGTCACAACTGTAGCCGACTGGGCTTCATCTCCTATGAGTCTGAGTCACTAGGTCAATACTGAATATTTGGTTTTTTTAATCCCCTGAATAATTATTACTGGAGTAGGAGTTGAGAACATAATGCACACCAGAATATAAAAACATTTTGGGGAATGAAAAAAATGGGAGTTAGTAAAGGAGACCAAGGAAAAACTGACTAGAGATTTAAGACATCCAGGGAGTGGTGTCCTGGAGCTAAGAGAACAGACTTTAAGAAGAAAGGGATGTCATGGAGCTACCCATGCAATTCCTCCTTTCATCAGCTCTTACACGTGCTTTAAAACCAGCAGAAAACAGATCACCTACAGGACAACATCGTTTACCATCTGTTGCTAAAGAAACAATCCATTGCTTTGCTGGATTTCCTTGATTGTATAATTTACTATATTCCTATTTAATACATTTTATATTCTGCTGTTTGCATGCAGATCTTAGACTATTTTGACCCCAGTAAGACTTCAAAGTTTTTTCATATGCCCTATTTCTCAAATAAGTGGAAGGAAGATTGCTGCTGTACCATTAAGAAGTTTAAAACTTAGGTGGGAAGACAAGAACATGAAATAATGTTCTTGAAATAATGACTCAATTAATCAAGCATACTAAAGTATTAAGTCTCTGAAATTTTTTAACTACAATCTTGATTTTCATATCAACTACATTTCTCCTGAAATATATCCAACCAATAAAACACATTCAGCAAGGTAAAAGTTGTTGCCAACTTGTACATACTTTTAAGATATGTTATTCAATAAACATATCAAATGCAAATGTTTGATTTACTTGTTTTTCCCTTTTACCTATTTACAGATGACAGGGATCCTAATTTGGATGCCATGTTGAATATCCCTTCAGCGTTTACAGCAACAGTGATTCCCGTTATAGTGCCTGTTCCTCAAGGCAAAGTAAAAGGGAAAGTGAAAGGCAAAGAAAAACCCAAAGAATCCCTTAAAGAAGAGGAGAGCCCAAAAGAAGAAGAGAAAAAGGTAAATGAGCCTCACCACAGATTTCCAAACTCTGTTTTTGCCTCAATGTTAACTTTTTAAAAACCATGACTCATATCATTAAAGTTATCATAGTGCATACATTTTATTATGCACACAATTACAGTCCTTGTAATTTAAACTGGGAATGAGCAAGAAGAATTTGCCATAAATGTTGAATTCCCACTCCGGGAGACATTGCCATGCATAAGTTGTTTCAGGTCATTCATTCTAAACTCAGAAGGACTAGTTCAATCTTCCCCACTATGGTTCTTGGGTTATTTATTTATTTATTTCCTTTGGGCTGGTTCAATTCCTATAATTTCTTATTTTTATTACTTGATTTAGTTGTATTGAGATAAATAACAGTTGGAAGACAAAAGTCTGCAGCTAAACAACAGAAAGAGTTCCATTTGTTAGACTTGCACTTAGATACTGATATGCCAAGAATTCAGCAAGACTAAGGGACAGGTCACTGCTGGTGAAAGAGTAACCCACCTTCTGCCCCCAACCTATTCATCATAGGACAGACCTGCATTTGTGACAGGCATGCATGCATGCTCACACATAGACACACACACATACACACACACACACACACACACAGAGGCTTTGACCTTAAACATCTCCCTAGTAGAACACAGATAAAAAAGCTCTAAAGAGGGATAACAAAATATACGGGTAAATTTTGATTCTTGGTATTTACTACTAAAAGTACAGTGCACAAATTCACAACTTATTAGAAGAAAAATGAGTTTAAAAATGCTCAAGAACCCAGATTTCAGAGTTTGACCCTTTAAAAGTTATGGGGTATAAATATTATTTGGCCTCTTTACATATTTACATAGCTCCATTGGTAAATTAAAAGTTCAGGTGTTGAACAGAAAAATCACAGATAATGCATTTAAAAGTAAAGTAGTAGACAGAAGCAACTTGATAGCAAATACATCAGTTCACCTAAGATTTTCAAAAATTTCAAGAATGAGGGGGTAAGCAATGATTATTAGCTTTGTGTGAAAGGACAGATTTGACATGGCAGGTTTGTGGTTTTTAGTATTTTTGTTCATTCTGTAGAACTTCATAAGTTTTTCCCTCTTAATTTTTTTTTCTGTTTTTTGTTTCTTTCTTTGTTGAGACAAGATCTCCTTATGAATCAGGTTGGCCTCAAACTCACCATGTAGCCTCAGACTCTAAATCCTCTTTTCTCTACTTTCCAAGTGCTAGGATTACAGGCAAGTGCCACTACACCCAGCCCTGGTTTGTGTTTTTAACTCATTTTTAGCTAATCATTCATATTTTTCCTCCATTAGTAACAAAGAAAAGACATAACAACCTAAATTATCAATAATAGATAATTCATTAGAATAAGCTAAAGACCTAGTGATGGGATATTAGAATGGTTTCACTGGCTAACAAAAAAAATCAGTTGGAAAAACTGAAGTAGTTATCATTAGGGATTGTTTGGAAGTTAACAAATAACTTCCTTTTTTGAGTGACTAATCAAGGGATTCAAGCATAGCTGACCTAAGATTAGCTAGAATTTTAACATACACACACATGAACCCTCATTAATTAATAAAAAACTTTTTATTGTCTTTTTCACTTGCTACGAAAGAAGTGCATATTTATTACAGAAAAATAAGGGCAAGTATTATAACAGCACACTGTCTCTAGCTCCCAAAATGTAAGAATTACACACAAAAAAGGCAGTGAGGTATCTAGTTTCCCACACTCTGTGCGTCTTAGTCTGTTTGAGCTGCTATCACAAAATACCTTAGACTGTGATGTTACACACGATAGAAATGCATTGCTCAAATCCTAGGGCTGGGAAATCCAAGATCAAAGTGCTGGCTGGCTCAGTGTTTGGTGAAGTCCTGTTCCTATATACATGGTACTTTCTGACTGTTTTCATATGGCAGAAAGGGTAAGGGTGCTTCATTGAACCTCACTTATAAAGGCAGTCATCTCATCATGAAGGTAGGGTCCCCGTGACTTGCTCATTTCCTGAAATTTATGTCTTCATAATATCTCAGGATATTAGGTTCCCACATAAGAGTTTTGGAGGACACTAACATTCATACCATAGCATTGCCCATGTTCTTCTTACACTTCAGAATAATGGCATCCTTCAAGGCCTCCTTCAAGCCTCCTCTGCCACAAATCCTTTCCCAATGGTTTCTTTAAACTTTACCTCTCCCTTTCCTGAGGAAAAGTGTGCCACCAATTTTGAACTGTTGTTTACTCGTCTCCCTTGTGTATGTGCCATTCTACAAGTAGAACAAAACTTCACAAAGGCAACAACTCGTGTCTCCTTTCAGGATGTCACAGAATCTACTTAATTGTTCATAAGTTATATCATAAGCTCTCACCAAGTCCTTGCTTGGTCAAAATGAATAATAGCTCATTTAGAAAATGTCAAACAATTACTTATATGCAAAATTATTTACAGGAAGAAGTAGAACCGGAACTTGTTTTACAAGAGACTCCTTATGTTCCAACCTTCCAAAACTTAAATGTGTCCTGCCCCAATGGCCTCCTGTTGACTTTCATTGGGCAAGATTACACAGGTGAGTGCTAGCTGTGGTTGGGGCATGGAAGCAGGGGGCAAAAAGTCATTTGAAAAATAAATCACAAGCCAGGGGTAGTGATGTATGCCTGTAATCTCAGCACCTGGGATGCTGAGGCTGGAGGATCAAGAGTTTAAGGCCAGTCTAGGCTATCTAAGAAGACCCTGTCTCAAGAAAACAAGACAAAAAACACCTCCATTGGAAAAATGTAGATTTCCTTACCAGTTAATACCAGTTACATACCTCTTCTTGATGATGAACAATAGACCATTTTCAAATAATGAGTATAATGATAACAACCATTTTCAGACACTTATTGTGGCCAGATACTGCCTAAGTACTTAATGTACACAGGAAAAGACAAATATGATGAGCTAGGTGCGCACAACTCCATTTTACAAAGCAAGGAAATCAACGCTTCAGGGAGGTTCAGTCATTTGCCCAAGACCAGCAACCACTAAGAGACCAAATTAGGATCCGTCTTGGTCCCTTGATGACAAAGCCATTGCTCTTCACCATCTCTAGTGGAACTCGTGTTCCTGCCTCTCCAGAGGGCCACAAGTACAGTAGTTGGCAGGTTGATGACAAAAAGGACAGCGAGCACAAAGTAAATTGAGATGAGCACAGGTTAAATGAATCAAGAAAACCGGTCTTGATTCCCATTTGTCAGTGCATAATTGTATACAGTCTGCTACTTCTATCCTATTCTAACCTTTTCTGGTGCATAAATCAGGACAAACAGACTTCCTTAATTAACCTTGTAGGGCACCTGCATTGGGTTAATTTTGAATATTATTGAAATGGAGACATGCTGGTGCAGCAGAAGTAGGGAGTGTAACAAAGAAAGCACTGACTAGGACTTGAGTTCCCAAGCTGACTCTGATATAAACTAAATATATGACCCTTTTAAATTAGTTACTATTTCTGGACCATGCTTCCTGACCTGATAAATGTTAGATGATATCAGTAGATCTTGATTTTTTCTCAACCAAGTATCCTCTTTATTTTAATTCCCTTATGTATTCCACATTTGAAAAGTATATCTATAAAAGGAAAAGACTACTGATCTAAAAATGATTCAGTGTTTTACTTACTTGCCAGTCAAAAGAAAATAAACCAGACATTGAAGTAAATCTATTTTGGTTTTGATTTTGCTTTTCAATAGATCTGGTGAATTATTTAAAATAGAGCCTGAGCCCCTGTTCTGTCTCCACGGGTTCTTTTGTGTTCAGGTTTCACCGTGACAGAACCCACTGTGTTTACTGGTCACTAAGTTCTTTCAGAGCCTAAGATGCAATGACTGCTCTGGAGTGATGCTTCAAGTTCACAGATGTATTTGTTTTCTTGATCCTGTTATCAAACCCCAGATTAATGCCTGTTACATCCGTCTTTTCTAAATAGTTTTATTATCTACCCTGATGTGCTCAATCTTATGTCAGAGCAGAAAATATGGTCAATAACTCTACCTGGAACACACCATCTTTTTTAAATCTCCCATATATGATGAATATCCTAATTCAAGTCCGAACATACCTACAACATAAATATCAAAGTAACACTATCTTCAAGGTCAGCCTTGGACATAGAGAAAGGTTACCCGGCCTAAGAAGAAGAGCCTAGACTTGAGTTCTTTCCTGAAATTCTATTAGAAATAATTTCTAACTTAGAATATATTGTTCGATGTTAGAGGTTATCTTTTGTTTGTTTTGTGGGTATTTTGCTGTAATTTTGTGGGAGTGGTTGTTGTTTTTACATTACAAGAAAATGAGTCAAATCCCAGCTCTTCTGTACTGGCTGTGCAATTTTAGAAAACTTAAAACCTCTCTAAGCCTTCATTTCTTCATTTGAAAACTCTGAAAAATGAAAGCTTAAAAGGGTTTTTGCACTGGACTCAATAAGACACATATATAATATACAGAGAGAGATAACATCTCAATAACATTCGTTATCTTGTTGTATTTCTGTTATTTGAAGAGAGTCATGAAGGGCCATCACTGCAAAGTATATTCCACCAGCCTGATGTAGTCCTTAAAATGCCATCATTACATATGAATCCCTTTGCTTAGACTTTCGGCCTCCAATAAACCATATTATAAATTAAGAGGAAATTAATCAGCAACAAACTGGCTGGGTACTATATGCCAGAATTTCTCCATAATACCATGGTGTTTTTGTTTTGGTTTGGTTTTGAGTTTGGGTTTAAGCTCAGGGCCTCAAGCGTGCTAAGCAACTGCTCTACCACTCGAGCCAGGCCTTCAGCCAGTCTTTGCTTTAGTTGTTTTTCAGATAGGGTCTTGTGTTTTTGCCTGGGGTCAGCCAAGATCATCTTACCTACAGCCTTCCACATAGCTGGGATGACAGGCATGCATCAACACATCCAGCTTATTGGTTGAGTTGAGGGTCTCACTAACATTTTGCTTAGACTGACCTCAAATTATTATCTTCCCAATCTCCTGCTCCCAAGTAGCTGGTATTACAGGTGCTGTCTACCAGACCAATCCCCCACTTGTTGTTTTTGAGGAGTTTATAAGGTGAGCGTGTCTCTTTGACCAGCTAACAGCAGGACCTTGACAAGTTGCTAGACTTTGTCAGAGATGAGGGGATTGTGTTAATTTCAAAAGATGATGGATGATTTAGGAGGGTGTGAGTGAGCTTCCCTAGGATGCTGGGCCAGGCAACATAGCAACATTTTCTATCCAGGAGGAAGAATTTACTCTAAGGTGGCTATGTGTGAGGCAGAGATTAGGAGGATCATAGTTTGAGGCCAGCCTGGGCAAAAAATGTTAGCTACCTTCTCTCAAACAATAAGCTGGTCACAGTGGTGCATGCCTATCATCCCAGTTTCTGGGAGGCATAAGTTGAAGGATCACAGTCTCAAGCCAGCACAGGCAAAAGTGTGAGCTCCTATCTGAAAAATAAATAAAACAACAGGAGCTGGGGGTGCTGCTTCCTTGCTAATTTTGCCCTGGGAGATTCTGAGCTTCCTTAGAGACACCTTTAAATGAAGAAGGTGCTATTATGTGCTTACAGATGAACTGATTTGCTGCATTTGAGTATAACAAGGTCATCAAAGAATCAGATTCTGGGCCATCTATTATGGCATAGATACTGCCCCATTACTCAGATATAGGCAGAATAATGAAAGCAAGAAGATCAAATCCCAGCCCCGCAGCGTCACCCAGTTCATAAAAGAGCGCTGTCTTTTTTTTAAGGTCAATATGTTATGGATGAGGGACCCACCTGGGACATCATGGTCCGTCAGACCTACCCCCAGAGGGTGAAGCACTATGAGTTCTACAAAACAGTGATGCCACCCCCAGAGCAGGAGGCATCAAGAGTCATCACCAGTCAAGGCACTGTTGTCAAGTATATGTTGGACGGATCCACACAGGTAAAAGATTATACTACACAAAGCACTCCTCCTCCCTGCTGCAAAGTAAAAGACGGGCTCTGAATAAGAGAAGCATTATAGCAGAAAGGAGGAACAAAGAGAATAGTATGATACCTTAAAATGACAAATGAAGGGTAGCATGGTTAGAAAAAACACTATCTATGAAAACAGCATCCAAATAAACTTGTCATTTCTATGCAGGATCTAAGATTGCAGGCTGAACATAGAGTTTGTCTTCTCTTCTTCTCAAGGTGCCTTCAAATAATACAACAAATACTTGTAAATAATAAACTCATAACAGTACTAGAGAACAACAAAGTATATCATCAGTAGATCAAAATATGTGGAGAATTCCTAAAAAATGCAAGTCAGATAGGATCAGACTGATGGAGAAGCAAGAACAAAGCTTGAAAACAAGAGAAAAACTTTAAAAAATCAAAATGGGAATTCTAACAGATATTTCACCTCTCTGTTCAGAACAATAGGGTAGTTCTGCAGGTAACTCACTAGCACCTAGAGGCTTAGAACCAGAAACCAAAAGCTGTGTTCCTTTCCCCACCCTTTCCCAATGACCGCTGCAGAGGAGCCGCTATCAAGAGACACCACTCCACCCAGGGAGGAAAGGGGTCCCAGTGAGAAGTGAGACCAGGTACCTGAGAGTCAGCGACTTTGGAGAGAAATTAATTCCATGAAAATAACATACAAAATTCAGTATTTGTTTTAAAATCACCCCCAAAAGAGAATAAATGAAAACCTTAAAAGTGAGTAAAAGTAATTTAGGCAGAGACTTGAGATGTCAACAGTCCATAAAAGAATAAATTTAAAATTGGTATGGAAAAAATTAAGAGTTCTTAGTAATTAAAAAAATTATGAGAGATCAAGGAGTAGGAGTGATGGATTATGAGGAGAGAAAAGAAATTTATATGCTAGAATTTCCAGGAGAAGAAACAGTGAGAATGAAAGAGGAAAAGAACAAAACACACAGCATAAGAAATTCTCCCAGAACTTAAAAAAATACATCAGATTAAACCAGACAACCAAGGGCCAATCAGGACTGCACTAACTTATCTTTAAAAGATCAAATAAATATGTCATTGTGCAATTTTAGGACCGCACAGGTAAATAATCTCAAAGTCTCCTAAAGAGAACCAATTACCAATAAAAAGAATAGGAGCATGGGGCTGGGTACGTAGGTCAGTAGCAGAGCACTTGCCTCGCAGGCACAAGGGCCTGAGTTCAGTCCACAGACACACCAAAAAAAAAAAAAAAGAGAGAGAGAGAGAGAATAAGAACCAGGAAGACATTGGAATTCCTGTTGTGCTCCTTGGGAGGCTATATATATATATTGATACTGATAGATGTGTCTGCAATACCTAGAGATACCATGCACAACAGACATATATTAACAGAAAGTGGATGTTGAAATCTGTGATAAAATTTTAAATGTTGCCACTTGAAAAACTGAAATAAAGTGTATAATTTTCCAATTACATAAAATAAGGGTAAAGAATGGCAAAATACTCAAATGGATTCACGAAAAGGTAGGACATTTAAAAAACCAGAAAGTAAATGAAAAATATAAAACCATATTGTTGTACTGATTATTAAGCTAGCTCCTGAGACGCGAATCTTCCCTTCCATAACATGGAACTTTCCACAACACTTTCTGGTGCCGGGATCTGGAGATCTGCCATCAGCCTTCCTTCTTTGGATTAGTGTGAACCTGAAAGTGTTTGACATACAGTGCTTCGAGTTACCAGCCTCTTCCATGCTTCTGAGAATGCAAAGAACTTTTGTTTTCCCTTCAGATTCTCTTCGCAGATGGCTCTGTGAGTAGTAGCCCCAATTCAGGACCTATTTATCTTCCTCCTGAAATGTCAGTGAGCCCTCATGATGGGGATCTGGTGGATTCGGCTTCTCAGCAAAAATCAGAAACAGCACCATCTGAGACTGTCATCACAAAGAAAGGTAACCATCCAAGCCTCTCAGTTCCTATTGGGTTTATTAACAGTATTGTAATATTTCTCATCTGTTTCATGAACATACTTGCATGTATATGAAAGTTCATACACAGGCATAGGCGTGTGTATGAACTTTCATTGCTAAGGCAGAATCACAACTGTGCTTTTTCTAAGTAATAAACAATGAACATCTTCTTGTGTACATTTTTACACACTACTAGCTGTACTTCTTTGGCTGCTGCTTTAAGGTTGGCTGAGCAGATCAGTGATGTCAAGATTCTGAGCAGGCATCTCTGGGATGTCCCCAGCCTTTAACTCAAGTTACCAGAAGGTACATTGGCTCTAGTCTTGAGCTCTTCATGTAGCAACTTCAAAGCAGAAAGGAAATTGGGTGAATACAGGAGCTTTCTTCAAGTGTGTCTCGTTCCCACCTCATCCTCAGTTGACCTCCTTTTATTGACTAGAGCTGGCTGGGGACCCAGGCTGGAAAGACAAGTATCTGACATTTTGAGACTTTTTCTCAGAAGTGTCATTCTAATAAAGAAAAAAGAGAGTAGATGACCATTGAGTAAACAACCAACAGTGTCTCCAATAATGAAAATCACAAGATTGCTGTCCTGAGAAATATTTATTATTTATACCCCTCTACTACCACAGTATAAACAGGCCAATCTCCTCATACCTCTGCCAATGACAGACATTATTCCCTTTATTTTATTCAATTTGACAAATCATCAATCCATATTATTACTATGTTAATTTGCATTTACTTGATTATTGGTAGATAAATACTTTAAAGATATTTATTGAGTTTTCATTCATTTTGTGAATTCTCACAAGAAAGATTTAGTATATCCGTTATGTTTCAGTTCTAAACATCATCTAATTTTCATTGTAATATTTTCTTTACAAAAAAATTGAATTATTTAAATTTCCTTCTACATTTCCAAGCCTATGAACTGCTTCTAGTTTGTTTTTGCAATTGATTTTTAGCTAATTATTTGAAAATTGTTGCAACATGATTTATAGCCTCATATATGGTCAAGTCTTAAAAAATGAATTCTGTTCTTGAAAGTAGCATATATCCTATAACTATTGGTACAGGGTCTCTTTGTTTTCATTAGATGAAACTTGTTAGTTGTGTTTTCCAGATCTATATCCAAGTCCAGCAAACTTTTCTGTAAAGGGCACGATAGTAATTATTTTAGACTTTGTTGGCCATATGGTCTCTGTCACAATTGCTTAGGTCTTCCATTGAGGCATAAAAGTAGCCATAGACAATACTCAATTAAGTATGTCCTGGTTCTGTTGTGTTCCGTTAAAACTACTAATGGGCACTAAAATTTGAATTTATATAATTTTCACATGTCATAAAATATTCCTTTAATTTTGTTTTAGCTTTTTAGAAATGTAAAAAAGAATTACTACTTCACAGACAGCATAAAAGAGACAGTAGGCCTCACTGGTGGCACAGGCCAAAACTTTCCAGCCCTTCTGCTATTTCCTTACATGTTTTTTTAATCTACTGTATCAGTTCATTCAGAAGAAGTATGCTTAAATTTCCTGCAAGGATAGAATAGTCTCTTCAGTATTGTGCTCTTATGATTTAATCTTAATGACATTATTTATTCAGTAAGTTTGTCTTTTTAATGGTTGTCAGATTTTCTTACAAATATTAATTTTAGACACTCATAACTTTAGAATTATTATATCTTCATGATAAATTTAACTTTGCATCATTTTGCAATGGCTTTTTATTGTGGGGCTTTTTCCCCTAGTGCCCATTTTGCTTAGATCGTTATAGCTCCACTACTGTTATTCAATACCATGTCTCCAATGTAACCTTTTCTACACTCACGTCTCGTTTCCTGTGTTTTATGTTTAAATGTGTCTCTGTGAATAGCATAGAGATGCATGTTTTTTAAATTAAATTTAAATTTGGAGTTTTAAAGATTTTAGTCCATTTATTATATAACTGAAATTTTCTTTTCTCAAAAGATAACTTCGCTGAGTGTAGAATTTTAGATTAACAGGTATTTTCTCCCAGTGCATTGACAATAACCTCCATATCACTCAATGTTGCTGTTAAAAGTTGGCTTTCAGTATAATTGTTGTTGTTTTCAAGATAATCTAAATGCCTCCAAAATGCTTTCTGTGTTTTTAATTATAATTTCAATGTGATTTGAATATGTGTGGGTTTCTGTGGGAATGCATTGACCTTTTTAAATCTGTAGATTAGTGTCTTTCATTGACTCTGTAAATTTTCCAGAAGTTATCTCTTTAAATATTGTTTATCTATTTCAATCTCCTCTTCTTCTGTCATTCCTATAACCTCTTTCATCATTTCTGTTATTTTAACTCTCTCAGCTTCATTCTAAATAATTGCTTCGAGTCTATCTTTCTGTTCTCTTTTCAGCTGAATTTTATCTTCTGTTAAATATGCATGGTGATTTTTTTAAATTTCAATTGTTACATTTTTCAGATAAGACTCTCCTTATTTTGTTTTTCAGTCTATTTTCTCTTTACTTACACTTTTTGGCCCCTTTTTAGTTTTGGAATCATATTGGGCACACATTTTACATTCTGTCTCTTAATTCTGATTTATAAAGTGTTGTGGGTCTAATTCTATTTTCTGTTGTTTCTCTATTGAAGTGGCTGTGCTTTGTTACTTTTTGACTGTAGGGTGATCCTTTTTTTTATTGTTTTAGCTCTAACTTCTTTGGATTGGTTTAAAAAAACCTGCATGTCTTTAGAAAAGATTTTGATTTCAGAAAGGATTTTAACAGCTGATAGATGATCCAATAGTCTTCTATCACTTTAAATTAAGTAATTAATCTAAGGGATTGGGGCAGTTACCTTCTAAGAGTTGTGAATTTTCACTTAAAGTCTATTTAAGAATGTGTTTGTAGTTTTTTGCCTTCTCTGCTCAGCATCAAGTTTTAACATAGACAACTCTTCTTCAACAAGTCTTGGGGTGCAGTAGAAGAAGGCACACATTTATTTCTATTAATTCACAGTCTAAGAGTGTAGTCCTTTGAGATTTCAGACTTTGGGAGGAATATCATATAAACTCCCCCTACTCCAGCTTGAGTGGGCTCTGGCTTTCATTTCTCCCTAAATCCTATAGAACTGAGAAAACAAATCACCCAGTTTGACAAAGATCCACAGGGAAAATCTCACTTCAGTGCTAATTTTACCGCCATGGACTCCCGCTTTTACCCATAGTGTGGCTTGTATGACTGCTATCATAGACACTTTCCGTTAAAAGATGCTCTTCAGGGCTGGACACAATGCCTCATGCCTAAATTCTAGCTACTCAGGAGGTGGAGATTGGGAGGATCTCAGTTCATAACCAGCCCAGGTAAAGAGCACAAGGCCCTATCTGAAAAATAGTAAAGCAAAAAGGGCTGGGGGCATGACTCAAATGGTGGAGCGCCTGCCTAGCAAGCACAAGGACCTGAGTTCAACCCCCAGAACGAAGGAAGAGAGGGAGGAAGGACGATTCCTTTCTCTCACCTCTCACAGCCATCCTCATTCTTCATATCCAAATTTGTTTCTCCAATCTATGTTGGTATCAAAATTGTACTTTTTAAAAAAAACTCTACTACTTTCTTTAATCTCTACTTCTTAAAAAAAAAAAACTTCCTAACTGTCCCTCTAGCTTTCATTAGTACTGATTCTCCATATTCCTGCCAAAAGTATTTAATACCTGACCACATCTTTAAAAACTCTTTAATTACTAAATGTCACCTGTAGGAAAAATTCTAAGATCTTGAACATACCACAAAGATGTACTTTACTGAATCAATGCCTACCTGTCCAGTCTTTTCTCTCAATCAAAAGCTGACTGCAATTTATTCCCTAGCTGCATTTATTCTCTGGTAATAGTTATCTATACATACAGTGTCATTTCCCAACACGTTCTCTTTCTTGTATCTCCTTATGCTTGAATGACTGTTCTACCCTGATTGATAAGAAAATAAGAGAACAGACTAGAGGAAGAGAAGGAAAGGGGAGGAAGAGATCATTCCTAAAGTATTTACTACCATTTCTTAGAGGATCTTCTCTCTACCTGTTGTGAGGGTGACACCATTTTTACTTGCTGATAATGTTGTAGAAGTATGAGTAGGTTACAATTAAGTCTTGGAGCAGTGCAAAGGCTTGCTTTGTTGTATCTGTCTTCTTTGGTTCCCTTCATTAATTCAGTCTCAGTTAGGCTGGAATTCCTGCCCTGATGACCATTTCACAGTCTTCATCTGGAGAATCTTCCTGGAGTTAACAAGCCTTGGCTGTCTTTACTGGCAATATGTTTCCAGGCCTAGGCTTACTCATCATTGAGTCCTGATGACACTGAGAAATCTCACCTGCAAATTGTTCACTGTTAGTCATAGAAATGGAGCAAACCTAACCTGATAGAGGGAAGAGATAAAGGTCTGGGCATTCCATGAAGATCTCTTCAGTTCGACCATCCTGCTCCCTGTGGATGATAAGGGGAAGGATGGAAATAAGGAGGTCGTATCAATTGTCAATGTTGTGATTAAACTGTACAACCTCATTTCTCCTAATGAGAAGCCAAGAATGCACCTGGCTGGTGAGGTTCTGAGATCCAGGGTTGAAGAAAGTGCTTCCCATATATAACTGACAAAATAACAAAGTAAGGGGGAACCAAGGGTTGAAAACTGGTAAAAGCATTGAAGGCTGTGTGCTGTATGCTCTTTAAAAAAAACTGGTAAGGCAAGAGGACTCATAAATCTTGACATATATACAAGAGGAAAAGTTGGCTTTAAAAACCGGAATACAGACCCCCAAATCTGGAATCAGGAAAAGATAAGGAAGACTCCTAAGTGCACAGAAATTAAGAGAATAGTTTCTATGCCACAGACAGTGAGCTGTGTATGTGTGTTTGGGGAAAGTGATGACAATCCAGCCAAGGTTTAAGTTCCAAAATTAAGATAGTCATAACCTGACATTTCTCTGTTAAGAACTAACATAACTGGGGCTGGCAGAATGGCTCAAGCAGTACAGCATATGTGAGGCCCTGAGTTCAAGCTCCAGTACTGCCAAAAAAAAAATAACAAATTGATTAATACCACTAAGATTGTCTGTGCCACACTCTGAGGTAGTTTACACTGTATCAAAATTTAATGTACAATGTTAATATAACATATAAATGATATGTTAGTTATATTGCTGTTTGATTTTATTTAAACTTCCACAGGAAAAGGTCACAAAAGTCAATCCTCCATAGCACATAAGAATGAATCTCATGAGCCTGCACCAGAGACAGTTCAAACAGCAACTCCTGTGGAGGCTCAAGTAGGCACCTGGTTCACAACCACACCTGCAGGAAATCGGATTGGCACCAAAGGATTAGAAAGGATGGCGGACTTGACACCATTTTTATCCTTTCAAGCCACAGATCCTATCACTGGAACGGTATGGCAGATTATTGCATATAGCAAAATTGTCTAAATCTTTAGAATCCCAAAACAACGTACATAGAAGAATGTCTGGGAAATAATAAATTTTAAATATTTGTTAAATACTGGAGGGATGGATGAACCAATCTTCCCAAATCTGAAAACACTGCATGGTGTATTTTACAAACATATTATATCATGAAATGTTAAGAGTGTGTGTGTGTGTGTGTGTGTGTGTGTGTGTGTGTGTGCACATGTGCTAGTGTATGGGTGCAACCAGGTTAAAATAAAAATACTGATTTTTTGGAGTAAGAGGCAAGTCATGGGTTTTCTTTCTTTCTTTCTCTTCTTTCTTCCTTTTTGATATAGAGTCTCACTTCCATAGCTCAGGCTGACCTGGAACTTGACATCCTCCTGCCTCAGTCTCCTGAGTGCTGGGATCACATTTTCTGTATCACCTTAAGATAGATGTGATTGATGATGACACATATTTCCTTGAATGTACCATTGAGTGTATTTGTACTATATCATATCCCTGGAAGTGAAAGGATATATGCCCTACTTCTACTTCTTTGTGTCCATTTATGATGAGTGATAGAAATTTGTTCATGATCCTTGATTCAAGGAACCTGTGTTATGAAACAAATTTGAAAATGGATAGTTTTCACAACCTCTGACCTAAGTATTACATTTTAGAGGAGTGACCACTGCCCTTGTGAGGAGACCTTGGTTTGAACCAGCCATAGTTCGTACTTGACTTATGACTTTGGACAAGCTTCCATCCCAGGTTTTCTCATTCATAGACTAGAAATCACAGCCATTACCCAGGATGGTTGGAAAGATTGGTACCTGGCACTGCCTGGTGTTCCAAAACATTCTGTTTTTTTTCCTTTATTCATATGTGCATACAATGTTTGGGTCATTTCTCCCCCCTTTCCCCACCCCCTCCCATTCCCCCAACCTCCTCCCTCTTCCCCCCACCCCCTTGCTACCAGGCAGGAACTATTTTGCCCTTATTTCTAATTTTGTTGAAGAGAGAGTATAAGCAATAATAGGAAGGACCAAGGGTTTTTGCTAGTTGAGCTAAGGATAGCTATATAGGAAGTTTACTAACATTGCTTTCCTGTACATATATACCTTCTAAATTAATTCTTATCGAACTAACCTTTTCTCTAGTTCCTAGTCCCCTTCTCCTATTGGCCTCTGTCACTTTAAAGTTTCTGCATTAGTTCCTTTGCATTGAGGACATCAAATGCTGAACCATTCTTGATATTGTGTTATAACCACCACAAGAAAATGAAGAATAACTGTGGTCACTCTGTGGTGACCAGAGAATGTCAGTGTTATGTGGTGCTATGAAATGTTGGAACAGTTCTAAAGAATAAGATGTAAACAGCAATACTTACTAACTCAACGGCCAACTTAATATGAAGCACTTTACCAGCATCATCTCATTTAATCCACACAATACTCCTAAGAAAATATCAGTGTTGCCTCCATTTTGTGGAGGAGGAGAACAAGTCACAGAGAGGTAAAGCAACATGCCTAAGTCACCCAGCCACCTGTTGGGTGGCTAAGATTTGAACTCTGGCAGTTTAACACCAGCACTTAAGCTCTCAATTACCTCAGCATACAGCAATACTTCTGTCATGTCAATAGTCCTTGATAATTTAAGTGGAAAAAGTAGCCAGCACATTTACCCTTACATACAACTGTTGAATGAAGGATTGTGACCCTTTATAGTTAGGACAGTACAAGCCTACACAATGCCCAATGATTAAAATATGAATTGTATAATTTAGAATGCCACAGTCACAGGTTGAGCTCTCCAGAAGCAAACACTGAGGTGGAGTTTGGGGTGTAAGATATTTATTAGGGACATCATCTGCGCAAGGAAGAGGGAGGAAACAGGAAGGGGCAGAGAAAATGCTGAACTGCAGACATGACAAAGATGTGGTCAATCCAGCAGAGAGATCAGAAGCAAGTACTCCTTGTCCTGGTGTCCCAAGTCTGCAAAATGTGACCAGATCTATGTACTCTGCCTCACTCAGTCACTGGATGCAGGTGCCCAGGAAGGGCAGGCGTCAAAGGAAATATGTCTCTTCTGCTGAGGCTAAATGTGCTGAGAGCTGGTGGCCATTTGCTGATTGTGCTTCCCAGGCTTAGGAGTGAGTCCTTTCTTGAAGGGGGTTCTGGGCCACACATGTCCACATCTACCCTTGTGCACACATGTACACACACACATAAACACACACACACACACACACACACACACACACACACTCCAGGGATTTAGAAACTCACTGTGTCTTAGAATATTCAGTCTGCTGTAACAAAGTGCCATAGCCTGGGTAGCTTGTAAACAACAGAAATTTATTTCTGACATTTCTGGAGGCTGGAAGTCTGAGGTTAGAGCACTAGGATGGCCTGAGTGCCCTCTTCTGAGTTGCAGTCTGCAAGTTCTCTAGTCAGAACCTCACATGATGGAAATAGAATGGGAGGGTTCTCCAGGGTCCCTTTCAGAAGGGCACTAATCCCATCCATAAGCGCTCTGCCCTCCTTCTCCTCCTAATACCACCACCCTGGGGGCTATGATTTCAACTTATAAATTTGGGGAACACAAGCAATCACTTCACAACAGCTGGTCAGTGATTTAGCTACAGTATACAAGAGTCTCATTGTTCTTTCAGACTGAAGGCCTTACCAAGACTAGCTGATTTTTTTTCTGTGATTCCTGTTTCAGTCCATATATTTAAAACCCTAGTGTTTTTCCCCTCTTAGGATAAATGCTGAAGTCCTTGACATGGCTTAAAGCCCTTTCCAACTTGGTCCCTACCCTCATCTCCTGTCATCTCCCCACTCCTCCCAGAATCCATTGTCTCAACCCCTCACTTTGCTCATGCTACAAATCTGCCCATCACACCACATCTGAGCTCACATCATTTCCTGAGGCAGGAGCTGGACCAGCCAGAATTCTTACTGTGGAAACCAGCAATCCCCCAAATGCCATCCCTTTAGTAATTTCTTTTACGACTGTCATCCTTCTGATTTGTCACTCCTAGAGAATAGAAAATTAAACTTTAGTCTTGCTCATTATTGTACCTCCTGCACGACACATGGTCAGCACTCTGTAAACTTGTATTTAGATTGTGGTGAAATAGATCTGAAAGCCAATGGGCTGACACAGTGACTATCCCTTGTCTTTCTGCCCGAGGTGATTCAACTGTTGTCCTTATCAGAACTTCTTTCCATTTTCCATAATAATACTCTCCACCTGAACAGAAGGGATGATGAGTTAAAACTGGCAACAGAGTTAACAGAACAGAAAGTCTTTCACCTACAACTGCAAGTACTCAGCATCAGGGATGGATACAAGACAGGAAATAGAGCTTGATCTGTGCAGCAGCATCCTCTGCTGGGAGCCTCACAGTGAGCCTCAGGCACAGCCTCCTGAACCCCTCACGTCTACAGAAGGCGTACATGGCATCACAGACAGGAGCATTTGTTTGTGGATCAACATGATACCGAGCAGCTGCTTCTGTTCTCCCACCAGTCTTCAGTACTGTTCTGCTGACAACAGGCCCAGCACCTATGGGTCAACTTGCAATTTACACTGTCCAGGGCAAGAACTATCCTGCCCAGCAGGAAGGGCAGCCACCACCTGCCGCATTTGTCTCAACTCTAGTTTCCAAGGAAACAGGGCCCGGGGGCATTTTCCCAGACACACCTGGGTCAACCCAGTCTGATGTTACCTTTTTATTCATAAATGTGCCCTGACACTTACTTGTTGAGTAATCCCCACCAACTTTCTTAACTTCTCTAAGCCTCACTTTTCTCATCTATAAAATGGGAGTAGTCCCTGCTCAAGTAATGTGGAAAGTGTTAGATCAGGCAGATAAGATAAAACTTTCCCTTGCAAATCCATGACGAGGGTTGTTATGATGGTGCCGCCGGTGTACTCAGTGGGACATAGAAATAAGGTCACTAGTGAGCAACCATCCAGATCAATGACAGTGCTCTGCTTTGCATGTTTAGGTTATGACAACTCGAGAGGACAAGGTGATCATTGTTGAAAAGAAAGATGGAACACGGATAGTGGACCATGCAGATGGTACCAGAATCACAACATTTTACCAAGTTTATGAAGATCGTATTTTTCCTCCAGATGATCCAGAAACAAGTAAGTTTTATTTTCAAATATATAACAATATTTTAGAAGTCTTTAGTGAAAGACAGATAGAATCTCCACTATTCAACACACATAACAGTGTTTGATGAAATCAGCCAACCAAAGAACACTCATGTAGTTCAAAGATGGGCCTGTTAGAGCCTTGTATTATTATTATTATTTTGCTGTTTGTCTTTTTTTTTTCTTTTTTATTCTTTTGGTGGTACTAGTGATTGAACTTGAGGGTCTCATGCTTGTTATATAGGCACTCTATCACTTGAGCCATACCCCCAGCCCTTGTCTTGGTTTCTTAATTTGATTTAATTTTTTAATTGAAAAATAAAATTGTATATACATGTACAACATGGCATTTTGAAATATGTGTATGCAGGTAAGTTGAGTAACAGGTACCAAAATATAGTTAGATAGGAAGAATAAATTCCAATGTTCTACAGCACAATAGAGCAGCTATATTTCACAATGCATTTTTATAGATTTTAAAAGGAGTTTAAAGCTTCTCAAACACAAAGAAATGATAAATGTTT